AAGATTTATTTTCTTTTGTTGCGATATGCCATTAGATAAATATTAACATAATTCCAATTTGACCATTTTGAGTCCAGGAAAAAATGGAATTGAGTTGTAAATTAAAGTATAATATGAATTAGTCTTTTGGACATGATTTTGGATAAAAAAAAATCTTCATGCATGATTACGGTACTTTTTATTCATTGTTGATAGATATTTGTACTCTATTGAAGTTGTATTCTTTCTTGGCCCATTAAAGACTGTACCACTACTAATAATGAAAATACCAACATACTAGTGTTTTAAGAAAGGTAAATTGTCATGTGAGAATTTTCTTATAATGCTTAAGACTTAAATGTGTATCTTTTTCTATGATGGTCACTACAAGGAAGTGACTTTCTTTCTGCGATAGACTGGCTGCTAACCAAAGCTATTGGACCCAGTCTGTTCTGCTATTCAACCTATAGGTGGGGAGAGAAGAGATGGATGTATACCTTTCCCAGAGGTATTTGTGCCTAAGTGAATCTAACGCACATGATTGGAATTTGAACTCGGCTCTCTGATTTTTCAATTTGGAGCTGATATCCATTGCACCACAGCACACATCCAGAAATAAAATACAGGTCTAAATTGACTAGAAATCAAATTTCAAAAAAAGTTGTAAACAGAATGCAACAGTAGGTACACAGTACTCCTTGTAACAGTCAAAACAACATTGATACTGATTTCATGCATATGTGACCTAAAGATGGCTACCATAAAATATGTGACAAATATAGAATTCAGGGTATAACAACATTTTTCTAAGGGTAAAAATTCAACTTTCAGTCTCAAAGCTATTGAATGAAGAATAAAATTTTCTCCACATAGACATTTCTTTTCATCCTTAAGCATGGCATGGGGAGGGAGCTGATGGAGACTTTCTGGAGGGTCTGATTATGGCTGATGAGACCAGGAGTGCATTGTATTACACTAGAGTTAGTTTGCATAAGTTTCTGCTCACAAAATCTCAACATTTTGATCTCTCCTGTTTGTCTAGATTTTTGTTACCAGTATTTTGCATATCTGGAAAGGTCACAGTTTGTGGACCCTGTTCTTTTTTTTTTTTCCTCTGGGCCACATTTTTGAATGAAAACTTTGTGTCTCACCAAATTTTATGTGATAAAAATATATTTAAAAAAAAAAAAGAAAAAGAAAAGAAAGAGAGGCTTAAGGGAAATAACTGTGGATTTAAACTCTGAACATTATCATTGATAACTCTCTCCTGTAATTTGAAAACCTATAGTTACTATATTCTTAATACTTGATATACTGCAAAAATATCACAATGATAAAATTTGTCAATAATTATTTATAACTATTTATAATGGGATGTGTTGTTGCTAGAGGTGATAGGATGGCTCCAGTCACTTGACACCATGTTCTTAGAGGAGGGCATTTATATATGCATACACCAACAAGACAAGAACTTCAATCTTCATGGCAGCTATGTGAAAAAGTAATATAATAATGCTGGTGACGTATGCACAGTGTTTTATTTGTATAGTAATAAACATGTCGCATTAGTAAATACTTATACCTTACTTTTCAAATATCACTTGCACATACAAAAATGTCATCTGTTTAATTTTTTGGGCTCCTTTCAGTTTAAAATTGTTATAACAATCTCTTTTGATTCTTGTTTTTGATGTGTGAAGTGATAGTGTTATTAGGATGTCAATGATGTGGTGAGTATTCAACCCCCTCCCCCCAACCGTTTACAGCATGCCAAATGTCATCTGTAACATAAGTGTCACTTTTTTTTTTTTTTTTTTTTTTTGTATGAAATATGTGGAAGGTTTTCTCAGTTTTTGTCAGCCTATTACATGTTTCTGGGGATTCAGTTGTATATATTTTTTTAACACTGAAACGTCTACAATGAAGTTGAGATTACCAGAAAGAATTATTACTAAACTAGCTTAACAGCTGCCCTATCAGGCTACATTTAAGTTAGCTATTGCAGCATGCTCTTGATTGGGCTTTCAGCTTGTTTAGGCATTTGAGAGTCTTTGCATATTCTCAGCACTGGGAGCTCTCCTGGCTGCTGTTTGATCTGGGTTTTGATTTGCACAAGACTTTCTTTTTGTCACTGCAGCCTTGGCTCTTTTGACTGGAATCTAGTCCTCTTGTTGTCAGAGATTTTTTGGGAGGCTTACTGCTGCCATATGCAAGAGGCAAGAATAAACTACATAAGTCAAAATTGATCACTGCATTTAAGTAATGCATTAATATTTGAGCTTTTTAAAAGGTCAACAATAATTCTTCTGCTGCAACTTAAAGACAGTTTGATGTATGTAGGTCCTTACTTTCCATACAAACAATTTTTATTTCATGGGTGACTTGCAATTAATTTCAATTATTCTCAAATTTATTTCTAAGTTAGAAAAATTGTATCGTACAAAAACAAAAAAAACAATTGCTGAAACAACCATAGCAATGAAAACTTGTGAATGCAAAATTTCAAGATTGTAGGTCCAGATTTGGCTCAGAATGTTTTTAATTTGCTCATAGAATTGACCTGATTCAGAAATGGTATGATATGTTAGGTTACGGCCTCTATGAGTAAAGTTGAAAAAGTGTGAAAGATGTACAAACTGACTTTTGCATTTATTTATATAGATGAAAGTATGTCCAAATTCAAGATTAGAACAATATACTAGAGAGCTTATAAGATTTCCATTTTTAATTGATTTGTATTTTTCACAGTAGCCTTGCACAATAGAGGCAAGTGAACATTTGTGTCCTCTGAGACCCTTGAAGGATTTTCAATTCAGTTATGGAAATGTATTAATACTACATGTACCCAAGAGGAAGATTAAAACAAAACTTTCACATTTCTTATTAAAATAAGAAATGTGAAAATTTTGTTTTAATCTGTAATAGGTAATTAGGTCTAAAAAAACAAAACAAAAAAAAACCTGGTTTGTAGAACAATGAAGATTCTTGAAAAGAGTTTGAATTTTGCATTTAAACAATTTGGATGTTTTCAGTGCTAAAAATGGATTCAGTACCCTCCAAAACATAGAAATATAGGTCTAGATCCTGGTTTTCTGATAAATATAAGGAAAGATATGTCAACAACTGATATTTGGTGCCTGTAATATGTTGCTAAAAACCGGTAATGTTTAATTTATCGTATGAAAGTAAATGAATATGTTTCAAATATTTTCTCAAGAATAGCTTTCTTATATTTTTCATATTTAAATAGTTTTAATATTTGGGAAATTGTACTAAAAAGGAGAAAGAATTTAGTCTCTGGCATTTTTGTAAGCATTATTTGAAGTTGGGTTGGACAGTTCAAAAACAAAAAAGACTAAGATATTGGCAAAAAACTTATTTTAACTAAATTTTGTGTTTTTTTTTTTTTTTTTTTTTAAACGTGCCAAGTTAAATCAGTCTGTCACTTATAATATTCATTTTGACAAAATTCCATTGACTTTACTAACAAAAAAAGGTAGAAAAAAAAAGGAACTATTCAGAACTGATCATCTCAATTATTTACATTACATTATTCAGACAGTTGTCCTTATCTTTGTTGCCATATTCAACACTCCAACCTTCTTGAGGTGATTTGAATTTTGAACTGACCCCTTTATTTCATGTGTCTCAGTATCAGTTATCTCAATTTAATTCAACTTTCCATGTTTTTGTTCATTTCTGCTGTAACCAGATATTGAACTCGCAACTCTTTGGGTCAAGTCATTGGATTCAACCAATGCTTTTATCCACTGGTCCATATATCCTTGAGGATCATCTCAAAGTAATTGATTAATGCCTTACACATTTATAAATTTCCCATTCATCTGTGCATGGATTGCTGCCATATCTGGTTTGGTACTCCTGCTATATATTAAGATTCTCAACAAAATTCAAAGAAGAGTCTGCAATGTTATTGGTCCTAACCTGACATCTCCAATTCAGTTACTTTCCAACTGCTGTGACATGGCAAACTGCTACCTTTTAACATAAATATTTTCATGTTAATTGTTCTAATGAGCTCTACTTGGTACTTCATCTGCATGAATTTAAGCGTATTACTAGATTGGCAATTAAGTCTCATTGTTTTATTGTTGAAATAGCTAGATGTATCTGTAAGTTTTATTCTAATAGTTTCTTTTCTCTCACTTCTTGCCCGTGGAACTCTCTTCTGGTTTCTTGCTTCCCTGCCACCTAAAATCCTCAAAAATTTAAATGCACCGTCAGTTGCAATTTTTTGTTTTCTCTGATTTCTGTTCTTTTATTTTCCTTTCTCCTCATTAAAGTCTTCTCATTCTCTTTGACTCCAAGTAGTGGTATAATTGCCTTGCTTGCAGTGAAATGATTAAAAAAAAATGTTTCTTTTTATATGGAATTATTAAAAGCAACTTGTAGAAGCTGCATTACATATTGAAACATGTTTTTGTAATATGTTGGAATATATCTGAATATTTTGAAGAAAAATGTATCCCATCCCCTAAAATTCGTTCAATTCAAGGCTCAAGAGACATTCAAGGTAGAGTTACTGTTAAAATGATCATGATGAATGAGATATGTTGTAATATGAATGAAAAAGGAGGTAATAAGAAGTCAAGATTATGAAGATAAGGAGGTTAGTTAATGCTTGATCCTTGATATGAAGAGGTTAAGATTGTAGTAAATGCTTGTAAAATAAAAGACAACCACCATTTAGACGTGCATTTAATTTGTTTTATTATTCCATTTTTCTTTCTTTTTCAGGCACTGATAAAGATGTAGTTGACGGCATCCTTTGTACTGGTGATTCAAACCAAGTTGCAGTTACAGCGTCAAATGTGATAGAGACTTTAAACTCTTCCAACAGTAATTCATTGGAAACAATCAATAGTGCAACTGGTACAGAATTTTCCCAAATCATACAGGATAAGGTGATTGAGAGTGTGCACTCTCAAATTGATTCACTACAAGGAATTAGTGCCTCCACCCCAATTTCTGAAAATAGTAGCAGCGATGGAGTGTCTAACATGCAGTCGGCTAACACTGTTGACTGCTTACCCTTTTCAGAGGCGCAGCCTGAGCAGGGCTGGTCCAAACCTACCTATCTTGTCACCATGGCTCCAGACATTGCTGTTAGCGAGCATGCACATTCAGGGACATCTGCTGTTATTGAAGCTGTTAACAAAACACTGTCTTGCAAAAGATCACTCGTTAACAGTTCAACTGTTTCTCCAGTGGTTACCAAGGTCATTATCACCAATGCTGCTGGAAAGAACTCATCTCTTGAACAACCTCAGGCAATTCCTGTACAGATTCCAAATCAGCTGCTGGCTTTGAACTCTATAGGCCCAGGGATCAGTGTCTTACCACAGGCACAGAACTCTCAGACACCAACAAAGACTATCACCATATCCTCTCAAGGTATTGTATCTGCTGGTAAGACTGTTATAGCTGCAATGCCAGGTACACCTACCAAGTCAGGGGTGCACATAACCAAGCTGCCAATATCCCCAGCAAAAACTCCAACCAAAATCACCATGATACCTGTATCAATTGCTAAATCTCCACAACGGGCTGTCTTAGCTTCCTCAAATGCGACCATGATTCCCCGGACAATAAGTGGTACGGATAGGTCCATGCTTACCATAAACAGTTCAATGGCAGGGGCTGGCATTTCTAAGCCAGCCACCATAACAATGTCGCCATCAAAGTTAATCATCAAACAGGGAACTTTAGTAAGTTTCTTCTCAGAATTCACTTGATTACCTTCGGTTCTCACACTGAATAATTTTTTCCTTCTTTTTTTTTCTCTTTTCCTTCTTTTTTTTTCTCTTTTCCTTCTTTTTTTTTCTCTTTTCCTTTTTTTTCTCTTTTCCTTTTTTTCCTTTTTTTTTCTTTTTTTTTTTCTCTTTCCTTTTTTCCTTTTTCCTTTTTCTCTCTCTTCTTTTTTTTCCCTTTTTTTCCTTTTTTCTTCTTATTTTCTCTCTTTTTTTTTTTCTTCCTTTTTTTTTTTCCTTTTTCTCTCTTTCCTTTTTTTCTCTTTTTTCTTTTTTTCTCTTTTTTCTTTTCTTTTTTCTCTTTTTTTTTTTCTTTTCCTTTTTTTCTCTTTTCCTTTTTTCTTTTTCCTTTTTCTTTTTTTTTCTTTTTTTTCTTTTTTTTCTTTTCCTTTTTTTTTTTCCTTTTTCTTTTTTCTTTTTTTTTTCTTTTTTTCTTTTTTTTCTTTTTCTTTTCTTTTTTCCTTTTCTCTTCTTTTTTCCTTTCTTTTTCTTTTCTTTTTTCTTTTTCTTTCTTTTTTTCTTTTCTTTTTTTTTCTTTTTTTTCTTTTTCTTTTTTTTTTCTCTTCTTTCTTTTTTTCCTCTTCTTTCTTTTTTTCCTCTTCTTTCTTTTTTTCCTCTTCTTTCTTTTTTTCCTCTTCTTTCTTTTTTTCCTCTTCTTTCTTTTTTTCCTCTTCTTTTCCCCCCTCACCTTCCAAAAAAAAAAAAATCTTCATTGATAAATTTTCAAAAATATTTGCAAAAGGAAAATACTTTTCATATTTTTTTTTTTGTCTTGGGGGTTTGGTTCAATGCAATCTAACCTGAGGAAAATATTACCTTACATCTATAATGTTGGAATTATGGATCGGAAGCCAATCGCCAAAGATTTGATTTGTGCAGGTAGGGCTGAGATACTTAACCAAAAGTAAGATTGGTTAAAGGTGTAAGGTTTTGGGAGTGAGGCTGTATCTTTCATTACCTTTAATCTGCAATTAACAAGTACAATAATTTTAATGTTGTGTAAATTAATTATAGTCTGCTCTATGATAGTTAATTGAATGATGAAATGGGGAGGAAAAAAAACAAAACAATGTTTAACCTTCATGCCCACAAAAAAAAAACGTGTTTCAAAAGGATGATTTTTTTGTTGACACCACTATTACTGTGTACAACTGAGACTTCTTCAGCAATGTTTATTTACAAGATTATAAAAATATGTGACTAAGTAAAATTTATTATTTATCATTTTATAAAGATTTATTATTTGAAAAGAAGTCTTTAAATTGTTGCTAATTTTTCTAAAAATACCTAGAAAATCTGCCAACAGATTATTTATTGTCAACCAACTGCTGACTGATGATAGTCCTAGGCATGACAATAAACTACGACACGGCATTTGATCAGGAGATTGAAATTTTTGATTAGCATGGGACCACCTCTTAATAGCTGTTGTTTCCAGATCCACCCTAATTTTGGCATTAAATAACCCATAAGGAGTTGATATGCTGTTAAACAAACAAATCAAGTCTGACTGATGAAGAAATCTTGCATTTGTCGAAACTAGTGAATAGCGTTCTTTGGAATAGTTGACAAAATATTGGCTAATCGTCAATTGATTTGAATTTTATAAAAGGGTAAACAATGATTTCCTTATAGTTGCTTCACATATTTTTATAATTTAGTAAATGTTTATAAATTTATGAATAAAAAAAAAACTGTTTTCATATTTATTTATTTTAAATTGGTAAATGATAAATTGCATTGCATTAGTTTTAATACAATGTTATTAGTTTTTAGAATGTAAATATAAAATTATTCTTGTAAATAAACAATCTAATAAGTAAATAGTAATAATATTTTTGCAAATTCTCAGGAACAAAAAAATGTATAAATTCACTTTCATCATATGTTTAGATTTCATTACAATTCTAATCATTACTTTTCAAAACAATAAACATTGCCATGGAGTGAAGGTAGTTTAAATAATAGTGGTGTCAAAGAAAAAACTGTCCTTTCGAGTATGAGGGACCAAGTTTGCCAACATTTTGTTCAATACATTTTACAATCTTCCATAATCTGTATGTAAAGAAATGTTTTTTTTTTTTTTTTATTTTTTTTTTCCTGGTCATATCCACCAATATTAAAAAGCAGGACAAAAATGTTTTCAAATATGCTTGTCAAGCATTATGGTAATGTTAGCTGTTTCCTTTTGGCATTCATTGACCAAACAGCTAGTGCTACTGCCGTTTGACATTTATAAAATCTTTCTTTTTAAAATTTTTTTTCAGGAAAATATATTTCTCAAGTCCATTAACATTTATTGTTCTTTCCAGTACTGATGACGGTTTCCTTCCTAACCTTTTGTCTGAAGTAGTGTGGAATGTCAACATTTTATGCCATATGCCAAAACCTTATAATATAACATGTATCATAACTGATTCAATATTTTATATGCAAGATTTGCTTTTGAATCCTTTTTTTGCTAATAAATCCATCCTGGTGTGATTTACACATTTATTGACAAGGCTAATATAAATGTTGCTTTTTGATTTTACAATATTGGTGATATTACATGAAAAAGAAAAAAAAGACCTTTCCTGCTTTATTTCTCATATAGCTGAAAGTTGTTGAATAGATTGAGTGAAAGTGTGCATTTAGTTTATTTTTAAATAAATTTTATCTGTAGCATAATTATTTTGTTCCAGGTTTATTAAATTTATGTAAAAAAAAAAAAATTTCCATTGGTACATTTATTTGAACCTCCACATTTACTTTCATAAATTGAAAAATTCCCACAGACATGATTATAATAGATTTATATTTGATGCAAAAGAGGCCATCTAAAAAGAGAAGCTGATGATTAATTTATTCTATGAACCTGTTAATTATTCTTTCTTTACTTTTTCCATGTAGTTTTAAAAAAAAATGAAAATTAATATTGGCCTTTTTTTGTGTGTGCGATGTTTGTTCAGTTTTTGATCATGTCAACAATATGTTAAGTTGAGCCTGTGGCTTATTTTTGTTGAATCACGAGGAACTGGATTTTTTTATTTTCTTACTTGGGACATAGAACAATTTTTTTATTTACTTTCTTATTTGGGACATAGAACCAGATATCAGGTAATTCATTTCTAAACAATTAAATAATCACAGTTTATTGATTTGTTTATTGATTTTGTTGAAAATATAGATTAAATCTGACAATGTTTAAATAAGGAATAAGTCAGAAATGTTTATAAATTTGACATGCTTTGCTTTTTATTAAGGTTTCTTTTTTTTTTTTTTTTTTTTTTAACATTTCACTCTAAGCAAGGAAATAAAGCCACTAAGATGCAAGGAATTACTGAGTTAGGAAATATGAGAAAAAAAGAAATCCTTATTAAGAAGGCAACAATGAAAGGAGAAGAATTAAGGGGATGGAAGATAATGATTGACGTTGCATTTAAATTTTTGAAGATTAAAGTTCACCAGGAAGCAAAAAGCCAGAAGAGAATTCCACAAGTGAGAAGTGTGAGAAAAGAAACTGTTAGCATAGAACTTATGGTTGCATCTAATCATTTCAACTGTATGATGAGAATTTGCTGCCAACCTGGTCTAGGTATCAAAAAGGAAAGCTGATCAGAACAATTACCATAAAAATATTTATAGAAAAAGGTACATGAAAACTATGTTACGGCGATAGGAAAATGACTGATGCCAGGTCAGGACAAATAACATTGCAGATTCTTTGTATTTTATCAAGAATTTCTAAATGCATAACAGTAATTTTTAAAATGGAATGATTTGGTGTTATGTTTTAGTTTTTAAATTCTGTTTTTCTTTCATTGGTTGTACAGATGTCAAGTGTATATTCACATTTGTGTTATATCTCTAATAATTATTAAATTATGTTTTTGTTTTTTATTGGTTGCATACAACATGATATATAGTATCTGTGTGAATGTTTAATTTTTGAAGTGTTTGAGTGTATACCAATAATTGAATACATTTTGATGAATATATGGAGAAGTGAAATGTGTAATATTGGGTTATGTCATGTCATTTACAAATCGCTTAGGGCCATATCACATTGAATCATTGGTTCCTGTGTGAATAGAACATATAGTAATTCAACAGTAAATTGGTGAGACCTAGTAGTACAATTAAATTCATGCTGACAAATCACTAAGGAGAACAGTTTATCAGAACTAATGCCATGTTAATATTTGAAGAAAAGACAGAGGGAAGCCCTGTTACGTCGGTGAGAAAGTGACTGAAGTTGAGATGCTAGGTCAGGATCAATTACATTGAATTTTGTCAAGATTCTTGAGATCTATTGTAGCAATATTCAATACATGGACTAATCGTAGAAATTGCTTTTCATCTCAAGCGCGCTATATTAGATGTAATAAAGTTTCCAGAACTCTTTTGAAAAGTAAACTGACTATACAGTTAAATAAAAAAAAAAAAAAAAAAAAAATGCTCGAGATTTTTATGCACATCTAATAACTAGTTAATTTCATGAAAAAAGAATTGCCCTTTTTTGCCTATATTTTGCTAACGTGTTCTATGGGAGATAACCCAAGTGTTTTTTCACAAGTTATACACAAGTTAATTTTCTTTGTCTTTCACAATGTTCCTGAAGTAGAAATATTAGCAATCTTTAACCTTTGTACCCAGAAAACACACACACACACACACACACACAGCATCAAAAGGACAATTTTTCCCTTGACATTCCTATTATTTTAACTACTTTCACTCCTTGGCAATGTTTATTGTTTCAAAAAGTGATGATTAGGATTTTAATAAAACCTAAACATATGAAAGTGAATTTATAAGTGAATTCTTTGTTCTTGAGAATTGACAATGAAAATAATAAACACTATTAGATTGTCTATTGGAATGGTTGGAAAATAGTAGCTAATTGATTCAAATTTTATAAAATGGTAAATAAGGATTTCCTTATTGTTCACATTTTTATAACTTAGTAAATATTTTATAAATTGATGAATAAAAAATTTTCATATTTATTTTTTTTTTATAAATTGGTAATACATAGGTTTTATTACAATTCTTCTAATCATCACTTTTTAAAACAATAAACATTGCCGAGGTGTGAAGGTAGTTGAAGTAATAGCAGTGTCAAAGGAAAAAACTGTTCTTTTCACAAGAACTTTCCTTGCATTATTGGTCCTGGAATTTTCATTTTTGTTTGCAATTATAAAGCTTCAATCTGGTCAGCATTTTGAATGTATGATGTACAAAGAATATAAATACAATGTCGCTGATTTGTTTTTAATGTTGTGTGTCCCCCATGATTCACAGGATTGCATTCAGTGGATCTCAACTAAAGTTTCTTAATAAATTTGCTGTTATTAAATGATGTTATTAGTCTGACACATTTCCACCTACTTGCTGATCATAGCTAATACATTTCCGTTTGTTAGTTAAAACATTTGGTCTAATAGTTTAAAAAATACTTTTTATAGTATATTTAACAACAAGAATACAAAATAAGCTTTTTAAAAAAAAAAATATCCAAGTACTAATTTCCATTAATATCTATCACAGTTCATTTAACAAATGTTTCATGTTCAGTTACAGAAAGAAGAATATATTAGTTACATTATAAATTAAATGTGAATACATGATTGGACTGATGTCCTTGTTTACTTAGTATCAACAAACAAAAAATTCCTTTTACTAACTGTTACTGGTTGGTTGTGTGCAGTGTATCATTTTTCATGGGGAAATTGTGATAGGGAGATAATGCATCTTTCATTTCATGCGTCCTTGACACATAAAATCTTTCAAGATTTTATGTGTCAAGGACGCAGGAAGATCTCTGTAAATACAAAATTATGCTAATAAAATTATTCAATTTTTTTATTTTTTTTTAATCCGTATCACTCCATGCAAGGCAGTAAAGCTACTAAGACGCAAATTGTTACAGGGTGTGGAAGAATTAGGAACAGAAACATTAATAATGAGTGGGAAGAGGAAAAGTAATCAGGAGCACCGTAGATAGTGATTGACATTGCATTTAAATTTCTGCAGATTAAAATTGGCTGGATCCAGAAGGGAGTTCCAGAAGCTAGAAGTACAAGAAAAGAAACTGTTAGTATAGAATTTATGGTTATGTCTGGCCCACTCAACTGTAAATTGATGAGATCTTGACACCAGTCTAGTACTATGCTTAAATTAAAAAAAAATAAAAAAGGCTAGGTACCATAGTGAAGTAAATTTACAAAATGTGGCACAAGGCCAAAATGGAGTATGGGAGGGAAAAGAATGGTCTTCATAGTGAAGAGCTCATCCAAATACCATGAAAGTATTTATAGAAGACACAGAGAAGCAAACTTACAGTGGTGGGAAAATGACCGAAGCTGAGCTGCCAGATCAGGAACAGTAATATTGCTGATTCTTCTTTGAATTTTATCAAAGTAAATAGCTGAGGCACTAGACCATGTGGCAACAATATTCTAAGCATGGATGAATGGTAAACTTATAGATAATTTTGTCATGGGTATTTAAATTAGAAGAATTAAATGGATTTCAAATGTAACTGAGAATACCTTGGGGAGAAAAGCACGTAGAAAAATACTCTGAAAAACCATTACAAAATCTTAAAATGTAATGAAGTCAAAGATAGCTAAACTGTTAAAATGGAGGTATGTTTCAAATAATTCTTTTTTTTTTTTTTTTTTTTTTTTTTAGTAGAAAACCCATAATGAAAATGTGATAATGAAATGAGGCATAGTGGAATAATGGATAATGGCTCAGATTGAGGAATCAGAGAGCCAAGTTCAAATTCCAGTTGAATCCATTACATTCACTTATATGTTAATACCCTTGGGAAAGGTATGAATCCTTTTCTTCTCCCCCCAGCTACAGGTAAGTAGCAAGGAAGACCGGGTTCTATAGCCTTGGATGGCAACTGGTCTACCACAGAAAGAAATGGCAACCTACTGTGGGGAAAAAATCTGCCATGTCAGTCATGTATTGAAAGATACATAATCGCCTGAGTATGTATCACGTATGGCACATAACTGACTGATAAAATAATTTTGAGAATACTGTAAAATTGTATTTTTTCTTCCTGTTACAAGTATTTGTTTTAAGAAAATACCGATTGTTCCCTGATCTGTTTTTTTTCGAATGAGAATTGTATAGATTTCATTTTAGTGGACAGATTAGTTGACAAACTGTATTTTTTTTCTTAAATTCATAACATACATTCTTTGGATGCATTTTTAATGAAGCCAGGAAAACATTGCTGACAACTCATGTCAAAGCATTCAAAGAATGTGTTACAAATTTTATGAAAATACAAATTGTTGGCTGATCTGTTGACTAGAATGAAAAATATATATTTGTCAAGGAGTTTCTGGTTTTAGTCATAATATTTCTGAATTACAAGCAGTTTTATTTGTTAATCATACTTATTATAAAACCCAGGTTGTGTGTGTGTCTGTACGTTTATATATTGGATCGGATTTCCTACATTTTTCAACCGATTTCAACAAAACTTCACAGAACTGCGTAAAATTACTTCGTGGTGGTTCTGACAGTGCCAAAAATTGGAAAAACACAATTGTCTTTGCACAAAATCAATTTGAAAACACGATTAAGAGGCATCACTGTTTCGAGAATGAAAGGGGGGCAACTCATATAGAGTTATACTTATAAAACCCAGGTTATTTGCGTGTGTGTGTTCATTTATATATGGGATTGGATTTCCTACATTTTTCAACCGATTTCAACAAAACTTCACTTTTTTTTTTTTTTTTTTGGCAGGTAGTGTTTCTTATTGTCTTGCACACTTTTTTCTTTATTTTTACATTCAGAATGCTTTAAAAATTCCATTTACAAGACAACTGTTTATAATAAAATTAAAAAATTCTATTCAATCGGTAGACTCATAACGATGGAAAACAATGTTTTTGTTTGAGTTTGACCAATTCGTAAAAAAAAAAAAAAACTAATTAAGACATGCGTGTCCGTCAACCTTAAACAATAATCTTTGTCAATTTTATTTTTCGGTCTTTATGATGGTCGATACTTGATCTATCTCTTACTGTTACATCCCCGGGCAACGCTGGGCTCTACTGCTAGTATTTAATAAGTTTTTCAGAATTTTGAAATGAACACTTTATTCAATCCAGGGGAGTAAGATTGTTCTTATTTCACCTTTTCTACCTAGAGTATATTTCATATCAGCCTTATTCAACATTTTATCACATAGTCTGGTTCAATGAAAGAAATGAACAAAACAAAACTTAACAAGACTGGTAAGTACAGGATATGGCAGTAGTTCCTCCCACATAATGCTAAGACATTATCTTAATGAAGTCACTAATGTCTTGTATAATGTAAATGTGAAAGGTATTCCTGCTACACCATGTAGTAACCAATATAAAATATCTCCTATGCATAGATAACAAAATGAGAAACCTTGCAGATTGAACAAAGAGTTCTGTTTTTATCAGACATCTGGGTCCAGGTGTTTTATCACTATGTTTTGTTGAAATCAGTTGAAAAATGTAGGAAATCCGATCCAATATATAAACGTACAGACACACACACGCACACACACACATACACAACCTGGGTTTTATAATAAGTATGATAAAGATTGAAAAAAAATCTGAGTGTACAACAGCCAAAATATTGTGGGTATGACAACCAAGATGAGCATGCGGGTTCGATTTTTTTTTTTTTTTAAACATTTCACTACAAGCAAGGTAATAAAGCCACTAAGATGCAAGTGGTTACCGAGTGTTAGAGAATGCAAGAAGAAAAAACACTAAGAGAACAGGAATTTACAAAATAAAATTGGCAAAACTATTACTGCAATATATATACCTTCAATTTTCTTTTCTTTTTTTCTTTTAAATAATTTCACCCCAATCAAGGTAATAAAGCCACTAAAATGCAAGGGGTTACTGAGTATGAACGAATATCAGAAAAAAAAACATTAAGAAGCGGAAACAATGAAAGAACAGCATTTAAGAAGACAGAAGAAAATGATCGACATTGCATTTAAATTTTTGAAGAATAAAGTTGCCTGGGAAGCCAGAAGAGTATATTACAAGCAAGAAGTGCAATAGAAGAAACTGTTAACATAGAACTTACAGTTAATCTAGCCAGTTCAACTGTAAAATGATGAGACTTGGCTGCCAATCTAGTACTGTGCTTAAATTCATAAAGTCTAGGTACCATAGAGGAAAGTTCATCAGAACAATTACCATGAAAGTATAACTAGAAAAGCATATAAGGATATCAATTCCCTGTCTCGAAAAATTCCAACAAAAAATTATTTTTTTTTCATAAGAGAATTTGAAGTCCATTACAAAATACATACGAAGGAAATGTGTTATGTTTTAAATTGTTAATTATTCACTGTTTTGATGTTTCTTTATTTTTTTGTTTAGTATTGACTCAAGAAATGTCATTTTTAAACAACTTATCTAACTGCTTATTCTTCTCTAATGCAGCCTAAGTCTTCTACTCAACAAATCCAGTTGCCTGTGAGCAAACCTATACAGGTAGCTACACAACAGCAGGCAGCAAACATACGGCATGTCACAGTTTCCGCACAATCAGTACATCAAGTACAGGTTCCAGGTGATAAGTTGCAATATGTACGGCTTGTCACACCCCATACACAGGCTCAGACAACCACAGGTGAGCAAGATAACCTTCCCCTCCCTCTCTTTTTCTTGACTGCTGAGATAAAAAAAAATGACCAGCATAAATTTGTTCATGATTTTATTATGTCTACCAGACATTATTTAATGTATTTGTTGTTGGTGCAACTTTTTGAGAGGCACCTGGTAATTTTCTTAATTTACCATGACCCACATATTAAGAGTAGAGCTAAAATTAGAAAAGCTTATTTGAATATGTTTTAATTAGAACCAGATAAATTTGGGGTCAGCCTTCAAGAAAACTAAAATTATGAAACATAGTAGGGAGGGGGGATTATAATTGAATCTGCTCCCCACGCAGGTTAGGCTACTTTCATGTTCAAAGCATTGAGGGTTTTTTTTTTTTTTTTTTTTTTTACTATATGTTTTTTATAACCATGAGAGCCATAAAGCTATTAGGGTCATAGGGGTACCATGTACTGCCATCATGGCAACACTGATGTGTCTTGGACAAGAAAGCTTGGCAGAGCACAACCCTCCCCAGGCTGGTTTTGAATTTAGTTTTTCATTCTCTGAAATTGGTTACCATCCAAGGCTTTGGGATTCAGTCTGTCCAGCTATTTACCCATAGCTGTAAGTGGAGAAGGATATTAGCATGTAAGTGGATGTAATGAACATGACTGGAATTTGAAATTAGCTCTCTGAGTCCTCAATCTGAGCCACTATCCATTACTCCACTGTGCTCTTTTATTTTTATTTTTATTTTTTTGTTTACTCATGCAAATTAAGGAAATGAATTAAAGGCTGGTAGTATCTTATTTGTATTGAATACTTAGCATCCTTGACCGACCCCTCACTCCCCCCTGTTTAGTGCCAACACTATAGTCATTTAATTGCAAATAACTAATTTTTCTTTTTTGTATCTTTTTTCTTCCTTTTTTATTTTTGTGTCTTTTTTTCTTCCTTTTTTATTTTTGTGTCTTTTTTTCTTCCTTTTTTATTTTTGTTTCTTTTTTTCTTCCTTTTTTATTTTTGTGTCTTTTTTTTTCTTTTTTTATTTTTGTGTCTTTTTTTCTTCCTTTTTTATTTTTGTGTCTTTTTTTCTTCCTTTTTTATTTTTGTGTCTTTTTTTCTTCCTTTTTTATTTTTGTGTCTTTTTTTCTTCCTTTTTTATTTTTGTGTCTTTTTTTCTTCCTTTTTTATTTTTGTGTCTTTTTTTCTTCCTCTTTTTTTTTTGTCTTTTTTCTTCCTTTTTTATTTTTGTCTTTTTTTTTTCCTCTTTTTATTTTTGTTTTTTTTCTTCCTTTTTTTTTTGTCTTTTTTTCTTCCTTTTTTTTTTTTGTGTTTTTTTCTTCCTCCTTTTTATTTTTTCTTTTTTTCTTCCTTTTTTTTTTTGTCTTTTTTTCTTCCTTTTTTATTTTTGTCTTTTTTTTTTCTTCCTTTTTTATTTTTTGTTTTTTTTTCCTTTTTTATTTTTGTGTCTTTTTTTCTTCCTTTTTTTTTTTTTGTCTTTTTTTTCTTCCTTTTTTTTTTTTTTGTTTTTTTCTTCCTCTTTTTTTTTTGTCTTTTTTTTCTTCCTCTTTTTATTTTTGTTTTTTTCTTCCTTTTTTTTTTTTTCTTTTTTTTTCCTTTTTTTTTTTTGTCTTTTTCTTCCTCTTTTTTTTTTTCTTTTTTTTCTTCCTCTTTTTATTTTTGTCTTTTTTCTTCCTCTTTTTTTTTTTTGTCTTTTTTCTTCCTCTTTTATTTTTGTCTTTTTTTCTTCCTCTTTTTATTTTTGTGTCTTTTTTTCTTCCTCTTTTTGTCTTTTTTTCTTCCTCTTTTTGTGTCTTTTTTATTGTCTTTTTTTCTTCCTCTTTTTGTCTTTTTTTCCTCCCTCTTTTTGTGTCTTTTTTTCCTCCCTCTTTTTGTGTCTTTTTTTCCTCCCTCTTTTTGTTTCTTTTTTCTTCCTCTTTTTATTTTTTCTTTTTCTTCCTCTTTTTATTTTTGTGTCTTTTTTTTCCTCTTTTTATTTTTTCTTTTTCTTCCTCTTTTTATTTTTGTGTCTTTTTTTCTTCCTCTTTTTATTTTTGTCTTTTTTTTCTTCCTCTTTTTATTTTTGTGTCTTTTTTTTCTTCCTCTTTTTATTTTTGTGTCTTTTTTTTTTCCTCTTTTTATTTTTGTCTTTTTTTCTTCCTCTTTTTATTTTTGTCTTTTTTTCTTCCTCTTTTTATTTTTGTCTTTTTTTCTTCCTCTTTTTATTTTTGTCTTTTTTTCTTCCTCTTTTTGTGTCTTTTTTCTTCCTCTTTTTATTTTTGTGTCTTTTTTTTCTTCCTCTTTTTATTTTTGTGTCTTTTTTTCTTCCTCTTTTTATTTTTGTGTCTTTTTTTCATCATTGCTAACACCATTTTGTAGGTATTGTAATTCAGTGCATCTACTTCAATGTATAAGTTCACTTTCATTGTGTTTAGCTTTTATTCCAATTCTTATCATCACTTTTTAAAATGATTACTATTGCTGAATAATGAAAGTAGTTGTGGAGAAAAAAAAATTCTTTTGACACTATGTCTGCCAAAAGTCCAACTTCTATAAATTGAAGGAGCAGAAAAGTCACCCCAAAGCTGTTCTTCTCTGGTTATAGATCAAGAATGGCCATATTGGACTGTTTGATCACTGATTATCACTAGCTGTTGCAATTCTTGTTCCTTCTCTAGGCAGTTGATACAGCATTACCAAAAGACTCCTTTCTAATTTCCACATTATGTTAGCTTTCTGTCTCAAGTCCTTTTACTGGAGTAAAAGGCTCAACACTATGCTAATGAATTTCCATTATTTTCCACTTGTCAAAAGTGTACATGGCGATAGGGTTTATTAATCTAAATTACTAGCAAACATTGGTACTGCTTCCTTAGTAAAATGCACTGTATCTGATTAATCTGGATGCAGGTGATGATGATAAACAGTTTGAAGTTTGTTTTCACACACGTCTGATTATGTAAAGACTTGTGCTAATGTATTTATTTTACAAGGGATTTTTTTTGGTAGTTTATGCTTATTTATCAGCTGTATGGTAAAAGTATTTGTTATCATCCTCCTATCTATAATAGTAATATAATATCTGGCTGCTTGTATCTGAGTATGCCTGTCTGCTAGGGCAGCTAGCCAATCCCTATTAAAGATGCCTGTTCAGGCACATTTGTGTTTGTTCAACACCCACAGATTCCACTTGTGGTTTATACTGCAACTATGCTGAGTGGACTTTTAGTTACAGTTTCTGGGTTTTGTATTATCTAGTGATATCAACAACAGTTTGAACATGGCCAGTATGCTGCTCCAACCCTCGGTCACGATAGCTTGTAACTTTGTGCTAGCTCAACTATTGATGGCTCCCAAATAGTTCCATCCACCTAATTTCACTCACAAAGCTTGGGTCAACTTGTGGTTTGGTTTCCAGGTACTTTCCAGAAGTGCCACACTCTGGGATTGCCTCTCCTAGGCTGATAATATCAAGAATTCACCTTCCTGACAAATCAACCATAGTGAAATTTGAACGTAGGTCTCAGAGTTGAAAAGCAAACTTTCTAACAACATGGCAATAGTATAATAACAGATATATATTTTAAAAATTGTGTCTTGTTAGTTGGCAAATACAATTTAGTGCAAAAAATTAAATCTTATAGCTTTAAGTTAAAAATGTAGTTATTCACTAATAATGTCGATTGATATTAAATGTAAGTTGTCTGCTGAAATGCTTTCCCTGACAGATAATCTGAATTAGTATCTCTTATGATATTTAAATCTATAAATATCTCTTATGTAAAAGAGGGCATGCAGAATAGGTGGAGACAGGATCTCTTTCAATAAAAATTTCTATAAGCAAAATTTGGCTTACCAATGGGATCACCCATTAGTGGTATCCTAGCTAGTCTTTTCCTAGAATTTTTAGTTTGACCCATTTAAACACCGCATGCCTCTAAAACCTCCACTTACCACAGATATATAGACAACATTCTTCTAATATATACACACACAATAAAAAACTATTAGATATAATAAAGAACCTTAATAGCATAGAACCTGCCATCAAATTCATATATGTACATGAAATAAACAAATCTCTATCTTTCCTTGGTATCTTATTAATGCATGACAATAACAAATTAGATTTTAGAGTTTACTGCAAAGCCACTAACAAAAACAATCTCATTAATTTCTATTTACACTACATTAAAAAAAAAAAAAAAAAATCTGAACTAGTCATAGGATTCTACCTCAGAGTCCTTAGAACAGGGATTTTCAACCTTGCTTGCTCCATGCACCCGTTTTACCACAATGCCAATCCTCCCCCTCCTTTTCAAGGTCACAAGCCAGATAGGCCAAATTCTATAATTGCTTCCCTCCCTCCCCTAAACTTACTGTGGTTACAATTCACCCACTGGGGATGGGAATTTCACCTCTTTTGAGAACCCCTGCCTTAGAATATGTAGCCCAGAAGACCGAGTTGAAGAGAAATACATTGAGAAAACATTTAAAATTCTTCACTACTCACATCATTTCTTCCTCAGCACTAAAAAAAAATGCTTACGGCCACATCATGTTGAAACACTGATTCGTGTGGGACCACTGAAGTTAAGCAATGTTGAGCCTGGTCAGTACCTAGATGAGTGACTGCTTGGGAATGCCAGGTGGTGTAATGGATAGCGGCTCGGAATTGATAAATGGAGAGCTGTGTTCCAATTCCAGTTAGGTTCATTATATTCACTTACATGCAAATACCCTTGGAAAAGGTATGAATCAACCTCTCTTTCACACTAAATAATTATCATTTCCAAGAAAAAAATTCTTAAAATCTAAAAATATTTTCTGGCTTTAAATAACCTGCAATGGGTTGATAAGCCACAGGAAACGAATCAATCAACAGTCAAAACATATATTCTAATAATAAGTATATATTTATTTCTCAGCATTTGATGCAAAAAAGTTTCATGCATGTGGCAATTGTCAGGCACAAATAGTTTTATTACCACCAGTACTCACTGTGTATTATTTTTTATTTTATATATATATATATATATATATATATATATATATATATATATCAAGAACAATTTAGTATGAGACATTTTGTCTTTTAGGACTTCATCAGATTAAAGCCATGTTTACATTGATCTGATAACACATATGCATGACATAAACATTGCTTTAGTCTGAAGTCTTAAAAGACGAAATATGTTTTCCCACTTTGTCATAGATTTTCCTAAAATATATATGATATAAGTTATAATAAATATTAGCTAACATGTCTTAGTAATGTAATTACAAAAATTATTATAGTTGATAAAAATAAAGTTTATCAATTATAATGATTTGTTTTTAATATTTTGAATAAATAATTAAAACAAAACCATATTTAAACATAGTTTTTCTTTCTAGACATTATTTTTCTTATATTTATTCTTTTTCCATGATAATCATATTTTCTTTCACATAACCCATTAGAGTCATTGGAGCATCACATGTACTGCAGCCATACCATCAGTGGTGTGTCTAGGGCAGTGTTTCCAAAACTGTGTGGTGCGACTCATATGTGAAACAGAAGAGAATACTAGGTGAGGCAGAATGATTGAAAGACAATCAAAGATTTAGAAACAGTTTCAAAAAATTCATATGCCAAAAATAAATATGATTTTAAAATCTTATTATGGATTACTTGTAATTGCATACATGAGTCCCAGTATAAATAGTTATAAATAATTATTGACCAATTGTTATATTTTTGCATTATATCAAGTATTAAGAATATAGTAACTAAGCTCTGCAAATTGAAGGAGAGAGTTATCAATGATAATATTGTGACTTTGAATCTCTGGTTATCTCCCTTTAACTCTGTTTTTTTTTTTTTATTTTTATTTTTAAATATACTTTTTATCACATAAAATTTGGTGAGGTGAAAGCAAATTTTAATTCTGAAAAAGTGTCCTAGAGAAAAAAAAAAAGATTGGGAACCACTGGTCTAGGGAAAGATAGACTCAGTTTATCTCCTTTCAGGTTGGTTTTGAATTTAGGGTTTTCCTTTTAGAGTAGTTACCAGTTCTAGGCAGGAGAACTGAATTATCCTTGCTATTTAACCCATAGCTGGGGTGGGGTGAAAGATTCATACATAAGGGTATTTGTACAAAACTGAGCATAATGAACTTGGCTAGAATTCAAACTCGGCTCAACAATTTCACTTTTAGAGTCGTTACCTACACATCCATATTGCTTTTCTAGCAATCACAATAAGCATACATTTTTGGAGTGACATTTGTATATTGGATGTTCACTTGTTTTTTTTTTTGAAGGAATGGCCGCTTTTAAATTCCACTCTAGAGGACATTTACTTTGAAAAATTAAACTATTTATAACCTCAATATACTTACATAGGCTTGGTACAAAAATCTATTTACATGTTGAATTTATACTTATTTAGATAAGCTCTTAATGATGTGAAATGGATAGCGACTCTGAATGAGAAATTGAAAAACTGAGTTCAAATTCCACTTGAATTCTTTATATTCACTTACAAACAAATATCCTTGGGAAAGGTATAAATCTATCTCTTCTTCCTCCAATTATGTGTTAAATAGTAGAATGCACCGGACTCTTCAGCTTTGGTTGGTAACCAGTCTCGGAGAACAACTACTCTGAATTCAAAACTGTATTTAGCACTGGTGAAGCACATATTATGCAGTTAATGAAAGGATTACAGTGTTCACATTGACTCTATGATCATGACTATGGTCGGTTTACTTTTTTTTCTATTTTTTTATGAAGAAAATTATTCTAGATCAAAATAGATTCAGATTTTTGATGCTGTTGATAGTCCTGTTCTGTCAGTGACATTTTTAGTGTATTACAATTTTAAATAATGTTTGTCCTTATCAGTAGATATTGTCTTTGCTTTAAAATTGTGTTGCATGTTTTGTTGTATTTACACTTGTCTTATACACAATTCTACTTCCAGTTTCTCAAGCAGGGACAGTGGGGACATCCATGGTGCAAACTCGTCCGATTGTCCCAGCCACAGTAACAACCCGAACACCATCACAGAATAATACACTTTCACAAGTCAAAATTACACTTCCCATACAAGGAGGAACACCTGTAAGTAAAATATAAACTAGTTTAATTATCATTTACTTTGGTTTAAAAAAAAAACTTGCATGAAATTTGAGTACACTCATACCTTGGTATTAGAGACATCCCTTTAATGGATGTTTGAGTCAAAGGAAAAAATCTGAATCTGTTGACTCGGTTTGTAAATCCCATGTGCTACAGATGGAGTTATGGCAGGCTGCCATTTTGTTTACTCTTCCTCTTTTACTAAATAATGCCAAATATTAGATGTTTTCGAAAAAGAAATCAAAATAAATTTTCATTATATTGGCAGATGTCAAATGTACTTGTGTACTGTTGCACTTTCGTTGTTTTAAACACTTTTCTAATTCAATGTTTTCATTATTCCTGTGTCCTGTATGTTGCTGGTGTTCTTTATGTTTTTACCTATCATTTGTTTAACCATTTTGGGCCAATGGTGGCTTGGTTAATAATAAATAAGTAATATATAAATATGTATATATACAGGGGGCAATGGGTAAATTGTTGTCATTTTAAGTTTTTAATTTTGTACATGCACGTTTGTTATTTTATTGACTGCACAGTATAGTAGGGTCAGTTGGGAACCGTCCGTGAGAAAAAGAGCACCATAACACAATTCACTCTGCCACAAATTTGGAAATGGCATGCTGTACTGCTTGGAATTCATACCAGAAGCTTTGATAAGAGCATTTGAGAGTTTGGGTGTTAATCTGAAGACAGTGCAGAGGACTCTGAAAGAGTTGAATGAGTCTAATGGTGATTATGAAGATACGGCAGCTCAGAAAACTCGCTTTGATCGTTCTGCTAAGAAAAGAACTCCCAAATTTGTTGGTGAGGGCCTCAGACTCAACACAGAGGCCTATGTCAAGTGCCTTGAGGAGATAGTGCTACCCTGGGTCAAGAGAGTGGCTGCTCGAAGACACTATGTCTGGCAACAGAACTTTGCACCATGCCACACAAGCAGGATGACCCAGTCATGGCTGTCAGACAATTTCTGTGATCACATCATCCCTTACATCTGGCCACCTAACTCCCCAGAGTGCAACCCCCTTGATTATTATGTGTGGGGCGCAGTTGAGCAAGAGACCAACAAAACTCCTTGTAACACCAAAGATGGAGTGACCGATGTGAAGTGGAAGGAGGGGGAGGAAAAGAGGTGGGAAAGAAAGAGAGGTAGAAAAGTGGGAGGCTGGAAAAAACTGTTTTTATAAGTACTCCTGTCTGGGATCATAATTGGCCAATAGAAATCTTTTTGCATGTTTTCTGGCTGACATTACTTCTGATCTTTCATTGAGTAACTTTGATCAGGATATATCGTTATGGCCAGTTTTTCTTATTGGCATATCTTGCACATCTCGCCTCCGATGTTACATACTTTTTTTTTTCAATATATCCCATATATATATATATATATATATATATATATATATATATATATATATATATATTGGGCAGCAATCTCTCTCTCCATACAAGTTTTATTAAAAACATCTGTGAGGTACTGCAATTAATGTAGAAAAAAGAAGAGAGAAAAAACAAAAAAGTGACGAAAGGGTTTGCCAGCAAACCAGCTATTCTTCTTCGCCATCGGTCACCTCAAAGAAATGAATTGCGAGACTCCTTTTCTCTGCTGTTACACCGGGCATTCGTGAAATGGACATCCAAAACAGACGTGCATACTTCGACTGCCTCTTGGTCCGCCAGTCTATTCGCATGTCTAACTCTGTTTCACGAAGTCCGCCGAATGACTCGCCGTCTGCTGTGCCGCTGGCGACTCTCCTTTTTATGCTAGTCCGACACTGCTGAAATTTGCATGTGTACTGGTACAATCTCGTTTTGGACGAGACTGGCACGTATAAATCACGTCTTTGGCAGCGGCCATGTTTTCTCTTGGATTTATCATGCAAGCAAAACACATTCGCACACATTTTGAGCTCCGAGGTAAGTCATCACAATTAAGCCTTTTCAATTTTTCTTGCATTTGTACAAGTGTTTTCATTTAGTATTTTATATTATCCATTATTTCTTTTAACTGAATGTGTAATATATGTGTATCTGTAGTGATGGGAATGTTTCTTTTTTTTTTTTTTTTTTTCCAAACACGGTCATCATGTGGCTGTGTTCAATAATATCAACTATGAACATAGCCACAATAAGTTTGAATAGTAATTATAAATTAATGAATTGTTGCTGAATATGTATAAGTGTTGGTAAGTTCATAAACTTAGATCCTGTAAGGTTGATTTTGAAAAACAATCAAATGTCAAAAAAAATCTGTGAAAAACAATCATTTTATTTGCTGTGTCCATTCAGAGTGTGGGTAATCATGACTCTCCACAACTTTGTAGCTTGAAACAGTGTTTGTCCTTTTACTATCCCTCCCAGTCTTGCTTCTGCCATCCATTTACAAAACCTTGTTTCTTGCTGTTTCCCTTTGCCACTCTTGCCTTTAATATGTTACTGTGAGTGTCAAATTCTTCAAGCCTTTTTTTCTTATGTCTCAGAAATAAGTACAAGTGTCCATTTTTATTCTCATTTTCCTTAAAACTTACTTCTTACTTACATACTCCACATCTGTGGTAGTCTCAGCATCCTTCTATAGAACTACATTTTTGTTGCCTCAAGTCTCCTCTTCATCTGTGAGGAACTTGTCCAGCATTTACTATCATATAGGAGGATTGATATTACACAGCAGTTCAGTGAAATTTTCTTTGTTTCTAACAAAATTTTCCTGTTTTTTAATACAACAAATTACACAGCACTTACTTTGATTAACTACATTACTCAGAATGATTACTTTGCTACTTATGTAAATGTAAAAACAATCTTAGTTGGCAATACAGGTTGAGAATTCTTGGGAGTAGAAGTGCTTCAGTTTTCATATTTTTGGGGATTTTGGAATATAGGTTACTTAATTTGTATATAGCATCTATAAAATGGGTCAGCTTGGGAATGGAACCCAAGCATAAACATGATATCCCTTTGCATCTCACAACACAGCTTATACATTGTTATATTGTGGATAATATGTAAGCAACTAGGTAATTCAGAGTGGAGAGATTATGCTAAACACAGGAATTAGGTAAAACAAATAACATGGGCTTTATTGTACGGAAAGTACAATGAGTAAGAGTTTGTAATAATAAGGAAAACGGGAGATACGTCACAGAGATCCGTAGTGGTGCTGCTACTACTACAATACTTCGTCATGTCTTTTATTTTCTCCTCGTTCACGTCGCTTTAGACTGACCAATCACTGTCAGGGCGTGATAGGTTGTTCCACTATAACATACATATACTCTAAAAGTAGTTTTATATAAATAACATATACCCTGAAAGTAGTTTGATATAAAATTTAATAAATTTTGTGTACATACAGATACAGGTAATGACACTTGTCATGTAATGCTGACACAGATTTTTAAGGGGGTGAAATTAAGGTTTCACATAAAAATAATGTTTTGTACTTTTTGTACATGTACAAAAAAACATGCTCACTACTGACAAAAAAAAAAAAAATGTATAAATGCAGGACTTTTTGACATTTTGACTAATATCTTTACTGAGCACGAAACACCTGATAAGTAATCCACAAATGAATGTGTTGCTGTGACGGTCACTATCAAAAATCTGGTGGCTATATAGCTGGGCTGAGGAATTCCCATCCATGCCAGATGAGGTCACTTACAACAGCTGCAAGTTAACTTGAAACCTTCCCAGTACTTTATGAAATTTTCTATTTGTGGCAATTCATGTCAGCGCCTGAAAAATTCTCGGATTTTGTAATTTCACATAAAGTATACTCAACCTACAATATAAGTAATGGATGGCTACAGAAAGTTACTAGTGATTATCCACAGCTAATTTGTTTAAATAATGTATTGACTATTGTCTGTGTCATGTGGCAATAATTGTAAGTTCTTACTTCATGTTGTTAAAAGTTAGTATTTATGATAATGTGGAATTTATCTCTTACCTATTTTTGAAAGTTTTTCCACAAAGAAAATATTCCAGAGATCTGAATATGTAAAAATTGGAACATATAGCCTAATGTTTTGTTACCGTACATTGGCGTGACATTTTTGGCATTGTGCATTGGTGTAACGTTTTAAACAAGCTATGAATGTTTTGTGAACATCTTCATTAATTCCATTCTTCTGTTAATTTCTTATATATTTCTAAAGAAATAATTAAAAAAAGTTCCAAAACTGTTCTAATTTCAAGAAGAGAAAATGGTTTTGTTTTACACTTTTCTGAAGTTTTCTAATCTAAGACCTCCAGTTATTTCTATCTGGCACTGCTCATTATGTACTTGGTAATTTTAAGAATCTCCTGGTACTCTTTCTCTCTTTCTTTCTTTCTCTCTCTCTGGTTTGTTCTTTCTTTCTCTGGTTTGTTCTTTGGGTTTGTTTCGTTCTTTTGTTCTTTTCTTTAGTTTCTTTCTTTCTCTTTCTTTTTTATTCCTTTTGTTTCTTTCTCTTTCTTCTTTATTTCTTTTGTTTCTTTCTCTTTCTTTTTTATTTCTTTTGTTTCTTTCTCTTTCTTCTTTATTTCTTTGTTTCTTTCTCTTTCTTCTTTATTTCTTTTGTTTCTTTCTCTTTCTTCTTTATTTCTTTGTTTCTTTCTCTTTCTTCTTTATTCCTTTTGTTTCTTTCTCTTTCTTTATTTCTTTTTGTTCTTTATTTCTTTGTTTCTTTTTCTTTCTTTGTTTCTTTTTCTTTCTTTGTTTCTTTTTCTTTCTTTATTTCTTTTTCTTCTTTCTCTTTCTTCTTTATTTCATTGTTTCTTTCTCTTTCTTTATTTCTTTCTTTTTCTTCTTTATTTCTTTTTCTTCTTTATTTCTTTTTCTTCTTTATTTCTTTTTCTTCTTTATTTCTTTTTCTTCTTTATTTCTTTTTCTTCTTTATTTCTTTTTCTTTTTTATTTCTCTTTCTTTCTTTATTTCTCTTGTTTGTTTCTTACTTCTTTGTTTCTTTCTTCTTCGTTTCTTTCGTTTCTTTATTTCTTTCTCTTTCTTCTTTATTTCTTTTGTTTCTTTAATTATTTAAATGAGAATAGGAAAAAAGTTTTTTTATCCTTTCATTTTTACATCACAGGTTGCTCCAAAGCCACTTGCAAGTCAAGGCAGTACTGTTACGCCAACAGTCCAACGTATCATTCTGCCAGCTACGAGCAAAATCGGGATTACTCCAGCCACCCCTTCTAACTCCACATCTTCAGGTCCATCGTCGACACTTACGCAGATCCGGCCAACTTTGTCAGGAACAGGCTCTACTGGGCCTGCCTTGACACATCTTCCACCTGGCACAACAATCTTTTCTACCGGGAATAATGTACCTGGATGTACACTTGTTCCCACAATGTATATTACACAGGTATGTCATATATAGATGCCATTATTTGAAAATTAATTAAAAAAAAAAAAAATGGATTTGTAAGATTAAAAATGATCTGAATGGATTATTTCAATTGATGAGGATAATTGTTTCCAGGTACAGCAACAACAGAGTGCTAAACAACAACAGCAACCTATTGTGAATACCCAAGTACGGTCTGAGTTTATCCCTATTGCTAGTAATGATCCTGTGGTAACCGCAAATACCTTAGCTAGGAATACTTTAAATGGGTGAGTTTTATTGTTTTACCTTACTGTCCCATTTTTTTTTTTTTTGTTTACACTCTATTTTTGTCATTTTTTGATGCCATTTTGTTCATTTATATGACTGTTATTTATTTTATTTTTGTACATGTTTTGTAGTACTACAATTGAAGCAACTGGTGCCAGACCAAGGAAACCGTGTAATTGTACAAAATCCCAGTGCTTAAAGCTGTAAGTATATTCATCTCTTAGTAGAGGTTTATCTCTTGTTTCCTGTTTAGGATTCGGTTTCCAGTTCCTCCTAAAGTCTACTTTATTTATTTTTTTCCTCAATAGGAATATATAGGTTCACCTATTGTCTTGTTTACACACTTCCCTGGTCTTTCGAACAAAAGTAGCAGTTTATTCCTTGTATCCTGTTTAGGATTCGGTTTCCAGTTCCTCCTAAAGTCTACTTTATTTATTTTTTTCCTCAATAGGAATATATAGGTTCACCTATTGTCTTGTTTACACACTTCCCTGGTCTTTCGAACAAAAGTAGCAGTTTATTCCTTGTATCCTGTCTAGGATTCGGTTTCCAGTTCCTTCCAAGGTCTTGTCATTCACTTTCACTCCTTGTAACCTCTTGCAACTTAGTAGCATTATCACCTTCTTTAAGGTGAATTGATTAAAAAAAAAAAGATATTGATTATTATAAAGTTGATTCTCTTTTTTTTTTTTTTTTTTTTTAAATGCTATATCAGTTGAAAAATGTAGTCAAATCATGGCTCTCCACAGATTCCTTTTCTTAACTGCGAATTTCAATATGAGTTTTTGCAAGCGATAGTGCAGTGGTTTCCTGTAGTCTTTTCCTAGACTGGCTGCCACTCAAGGTTTGAGAGCCCAGTCTGCTATTTAGCAAGATAAAGAAATGGATTCATGTCTAAGGGCATTAATATGATGTCCCTTCAGGATGTAAGCAGTTGTGGTTCTTGAGATTCTTTTCTTTTTTTAATTTATTATTAACTGAATTTCCATGACTTCTTGGAAAAGATATATTAGTGGCTCTCTATTTTTTTACCACTATTTTAAATTCAGAGTTTTCTTGCTCCTCAACTGACACTGATGGCTAGGAAGCCCAGTCTACCCTGCTATTTCACCTATAGCTGGAATAGAAAAAAATTTTTTTTCATATTTTCTTTTTTTCGTCATCCTTTTTCATCATCTTTTTTTTAAGACTGCATGTAAGGAATAAATATCCTTCATTGTTATTATTAAGTACATTGAAAAATAACACACTAATAAAGTGCATATGCTTTTAAGTATTTATGTTAATATGTTAAGTATTTGTAAGTGATGATTATTTATGTTAATATGTTAAGTATTTGTAAGTGATGATTATATATGTTAATATGTTAAGTATTTGTAAGTGATGATTATATATGTTAATATGTTAAGTATTTGTAAGTGATGATTATATATGTTAATATGTTAAGTATTTGTAAGTGATGATTATATATGTTAATATGTTAAGTATTTGTAAGTGATGATTATATATGTTAATATGTTAAGTATTTGTAAGTGATGATTATATATGTTAATATGTTAAGTATTTGTAAGTGATGATTATATATGTTAATATGTTAAGTATTTGTAAGTGATGATTATATATGTTAATATGTTAAGTATTTGTAAGTGATGATTATATATGTTAATATGTTAAGTATTTGTAAGTGATGATTATATATGTTAATATGTTAAGTATTTGTAAGTGATGATTATATATGTTAATATGTTAAGTATTTGTAAGTGATGATTATATATGTTAATATGTTAAGTATTTGTAAGTGATGATTATATATGTTAATATGTTAAGTATTTGTAAGTGATGATTATATATGTTAATATGTTAAGTATTTGTAAGTGATGATTATATATGTTAATATGTTAAGTATTTGTAAGTGATGATTATATATGTTAATATGTTAAGTATTTGTAAGTGATGATTATATATGTTAATATGTTAAGTATTTGTAAGTGATGATTATATATGTTAATATGTTAAGTATTTGTAAGTGATGATTATATATGTTAATATGTTAAGTATTTGTAAGTGATGATTATATATGTTAATATGTTAAGTATTTGTAAGTGATGATGGAAAACAGATATTGACTTGTGTATTCTTATCTTATGTTCAGGTATTGTGATTGTTTTGCCAATGGAGAATTCTGTCATAACTGCAATTGCACAAACTGTGCCAATAATTTAGAACATGAAGAGGAACGGTCTCGTGCCATTAAAGCCTGTCTCGATCGGAATCCTATGGCATTCCATCCTAAAATTGGTAAAGGTGAGTATTCTTTAGATTAGTATTGTGTAGTAACATATATATTTGAGGAAAAAAAAAACTTATTTAGTAAGTTTGCAAATATTGATGATCAAAAATCATTGTTTACTTACACATTGAATTTATCAGCAAATTCGGACTTTCATGCCTGCAGAAAATGGAGTGTCAATAGGACAGTTTTTTTCCCTTGACACTGCTATTATTTAAACTACCTTCACTCCCTTGGCAATGTTTATTGTTTTAAAAAGTGATGATTAGAATTGTAACAAAATCTAAACATATGATGAAAGTGAATTTATCGATTTTTTTGTTCTTGAGAATTTACAGCAGAAATATTAAACACTAATTATTAGATCCATTTTTTTACAAGAATAATTCTATATTTACATTCTAAAAAATAATACAATTAAAACTAATGCACTATTTATCATTTACTAATTTATAAAGAAATAAATGTGAAAATTTTAATTCAGAAATTTATAAACATTTACTAAATTATTTAAATATGTAAACCAACTGTATGGAAGTCCTTATTTAATCAATTAGCCAATGTCTTGTCAACCATTTCAATAAACAATCTAATAAATAGTGTTTTATTTTTGTTGTCCGTTCTCAAGAACAAAGAAAATGTATAAATTCACTTTCATATGTTTAAGTTTTATTACAATTCTAATCATTGCTTTTTAAAGCAATAAACCTTGCAGAGGAGTGAAGGTAGTTAAAATAATTGCAGTATCAATGGAAAAACTGTCCTTTTGGTACTCCAAGTTTGCCAATTTATCAGTTTATCAATTACATTGCCTATAGGGAAATTGTAAAGTAAAGAATAAATCATTTTTATTTGTTTCCTTTTATTATGAGTATGGTGGAGTAATGGATAACAACTTGGATTGAGGAATCGGAGAGCCGAGTTCGAAGTCTAGTTGAATCCATTACATTCACTTATGTCAGGGGTTGCCAACTCATTTGGCCCTGCGGGCCGGATTGTGTTATAATGATGGGTCACGGGCCGGAGAGGGCAATAATAAAAAATGAAGGAAAATTACATATGCAGACCCCTGTCAACCTAAATATTTAAAACCATAATGAAAATAAACATTGAGAAATCAGAAAAACAAAAGAAAATCTAAAATTAAAAAACACCTAACAAAAATTACTTTTCCTCAAGGAACGTCAGAATACTTCAAAGTGAAAAAATCAACCGAAGTGAAATGGATGAAATTATGACGTGTAGGTTTGAAACTGTTATTGAAAATTTTTCCACAAACGAACCACACACACACACATCAAACATAAATGAAGCACATATACCCATACATACGGGTACAAATAGTTGCAAACATATACACTTACGTACGTATACATGTGGTATCATCCACACATTCATTACATAGGGTAGGTGGCAGGGGTAAGCGATGGGGGGTTCACTGTTGGAGGAATGAAATAGCTGACTGAGACAACATTGTCCCTTTGAAGCTGTCGTCGGTCGGTCAAATCGGCTCTCAGTTTTTGTTTTGTTTATTTTTATTTTTTACGCTGAAATGGGAGTGATTGGGTTTTGATTGTGTATTTGCAGTCATAGTATTCAAATTCGGTTGGGTGGATCAGAGGAAGATAACAGCAGGCCTTTTGTCGAATTTGAAAGCCTCGTCTCTCATGTTTAAAATAGTCATTGGTAATCAGGCTCGTGGGCAGGTCAAAATGTCTTCGCCGGCCGGATCTGGTCCGCGGGCCATAGGTTGCTGACCCTTGACTTACGTGCTAATACCCTTGGGAAAGGTATGAATCTTCTTCCCCTGCTATGGGTAAATAGCAGGACAGAGTGAGTTCTATAGCCTCGGATGGCAACTCGTATACCGCAGAAAGAAATGGCAAACTACTGCAGGGCAAAAAAAATCTGCCTTGTCAGTCATGTATCGAAAGATATATGATCGCCTAAGTGTGTATCACACATGGTGCATGATTGACTGACTGAATTATATTAAATTATTGCTTTACGACAACAGTTAAGCAACTTTCTTATATTAAGAATTATGACTTTTCAGAAAATTAAAAAGAAGAAAACCATGTCTTTTTATGCATATGCTAGTATGATTAATTTGACTTCTTGTGCTTCCCAAGTAAAATATTTTGATAGAATAATTGTGTAAAAATTCTTGGGGAAATGTTAATATTGTTCTTTATAAAAGACTTTTTTTTTTTTTTTCTTTTCAGGTAAAGGTAAAGATGGTGATGGTGACAGAAGACATAATAAAGGTTGTAATTGTAAACGATCAGGCTGCTTGAAAAATTATTGTGAATGTTATGAGGTGAGCCACCATTTCTTAACTAGGAAAGTTTTATTGCATTTAAATTGTTAAATAGGAATAAATAATGGTTTATTTTTTTGAAAGTAGATCTATTTATGCTTGATTTGTGTTTGTTTGTGGGTGGGGAAAATTTTCTTGTTCTGTGTTTGTTTGGGATGACAAGGAAATTTTCCCCCACCCCCCACACACAAATAAACAAAGACAAATAAAGCATAAATAGATCTACTTTTGAAAAAATAAACCAGTTTGTCTGAAGATTGTAAAAGCATGAAACCTAAGGTCACAAACAACTCTCCATGCAACTGCATATGTTAGCTCTATCACAGATATTGAGCACTTTCCACTAATTTTATTTTAAGAATTAGTTTGTTAGAACCACTATATATATTTATTAATTATCAAAATATTTTCCTTCAAAGTTGTATGATCTTAGACTAATGTTCTGGAAATTTTTAAATTTCATTTGGCAAAAAAATAACATTTTAATGCAAGAATTCTGCCAATGAAATTTTGAATATCAGATATTTTTAAATTTTTGATGTGATAAGGAATGTTGCCTTGATTAAAACAAATAAAATAACAATAATAATCAGACGGTGCCAAGTTTGGTGTATGTGCTCTATGAGGAAGAATTTTCTATCTCAATGCCTTTTTTTTGTTTTTACAAAACATTGTGTGGCAGTATGACTTTTCATTTTCTCTGTCCTGTAAATGCCTTTTATATAAATTGCAAATTTTCAAAGGTGATTAGTAATCAAAGGTGATTAGTAATGCTTTTCACCAGGTTTGTAGTTTTTAATACAATATGCCTTTCATATCCTATCAAATACAGAGCAAAACCTTTCTTTCCAAAAAGGTTAGATTTTTGCTGAGATGTTGGGTATTGTCTTGAATCCATCTATGATTTTTGATGCTTTCAATTATACTGTAATATTTTCTCATGCAAACATCTGTTCTGGTGCTCTTGCTATGTATTTAGAGATTCTTGATAAAATCCAAAGAATCTGTAACGTTATTGGTCCTGACCTGGCATCTCGGCTTCAGTCACTTTCTGACTACTGTAATGTATCTTCCCTGTGCCTTCTCTCTAAATATTTTCATGGTAATTGTTCTGATGAACTTTTCTCTATAATACCTAGAATTTATATGAATTTAAGTGCAGTACTAGATTGGCAGTAAGACCTCATCATTTTACACTTGAAATGGCTAGATATAACCGTATGCTAACAGTTTCTTCTATCGCACTTCTCGCTTGTGGAACACTATTCTGGCTCCATGCTTTCCAGCCAACTTTGATCCTCAAAAATTTAAATGCACATCGGATCTAACAACGGTTCCTTTTGCCCTCTTGCAAATAAATGAACAAGGGAAGATAATCTATAAATAACATTTAACGTATCTTGAATTAGCTCCCTTGAAAAATTGGATCTTATGAAATAAAATTTTCGAAACGCATTGGTAACTTTTTAAAATAATTTTTATGATATAAATTTTCTTAACCATGGTTAATATATAATTAAAATTGCATCTAAAAACGAAATAATTAAATAAAAATATAGTTATTAATTAAACAACAGGTAATTAGGTATAATAAGGTGCCAAGACGTCAGTCTGAAAAGCTTTTATTTAAAATATTGTGAATGCAAACCTGCATTTTTAAATTTCAAATTGGACAGAAAATTCGTTTATTCTTCAAGTTTGAATGGTTTTAAATTAATGATACTATTGCGACAATTTTTTTTTACTGTGTTGTAAAATAATACAAACCTAGAAAGATTATTATTTTCATTATTTTTAGTGGATACTCATATTTGAGTAGATGCTCTGTTTATTTATTAAACAGTATATTTATTTATTTTCGTCTACTAGCTTGAATATTGGAAAAATCTTATTAAAGAAAAACATGTGCCCTCTTGAAGGATTCGAACCTGTCTCCCAGGAAAAAGGGGCACATTAGATCTGATGTGTTCTAATTTGTTATTCATGTTTGAATCCTGCCAGAGAGCACATATTTTTCTTTAATAAGATTTCTCCAATATTCAGGCTGGTAGATGAAAATAAATAAATATGCTGTTTAATAAATAAACAGTTTCTACTCAAATAGGAGTAGCCACTAAATATAATGTTTAAAGTGATGAAAATCTGTTGGATTAATAAATAAAAAAATCCATTACTTTTTTTAAAAAAAGATTATTATATAGATTTGTAAAATAAAAATATTACTTCATGGTTATCATTATTTTGTGCTGCAATTAGTATATTTTTTTTACTTAGTTGTCTCTTTTGATGCTTTGAGTTTCTTTCTAGCTTTTGTAGCAAACATTAACATTTGAAAATCACATCAGTATTACCAAGTTTAGCACATTAAGGGAAAAGACATTAAATTGTAAATTGCTTTATTCGTCAAGCAACAGCAGTTCAGTGGTGTTGCCTTAACAAAATTCCTACTACTTTTGCTGTGTTATGGTAACAAACCTGTGGTGAACAGCCCCGTAGAAGCAAGCGAGCCAGAGTGGCTTGCATCTGGTGTATTGGAAAATAAGGGTCTTACATTAACGTGCGGCACGTGACATCAGCAAGTTTTCTTTGTGAAAATGGCATTACTCTCCCGTCCAGCCATTCTAGCAGTGTGTGCAATGATAAGGGTTTTTTGTACAGTTTGGAATGTTTCCACCAATAGCAAGTCGTGTGCTGATTGGTCGAACAGGAGGAGGTAATTTGCCTGTGTAACCGAGAATAACAGCAAAGAACGCTGATTGGCTGGGGAACCGCGGTGTTGGCCTGATAAAAGAGTGCTGTGGCCGTGAAAAAGGGGACAGAAACGTTGGCTATACGTAGTGACATGTGAAGAAAGCGAGGACGACGAATTGAACCAGCAATATTGTGATTTGTACAAGTGACGTTGCAGCAATAGACTTGTTTAAGCTACAAAACCTAAGAATGAAAATTGAATCATTGAAATGTAAATGTGAAAAATGTTGATTTTAAAATTTTATTTATTGTCAAATAATTTGTAACTTAGAATGTTTCTTTTTATATTCTATTGATATTAATTTGTATTAAGTTAGAATGACAGTATTAAAATGCCCTGATGAAAACTTTGCTATGATATATGTAATATATATATATTTTTTAATGTATTATTATTTTGCAGGCCAAAATTATGTGTTCTAGTATATGTAAATGTGTTGGGTGTAAAAATTATGAAGAAAGTCCAGAACGCAAAACTCTGATGCATCTTGCAGATGCTGCAGAAGTGCGCGTGCAGCAGCAGACTGCAGCAAAATCAAAGCTGTCTTCCCAAATATCGAGCTTACCCTCACGACCTCCGATCTTTGCTGCAACGGGGGAAAAGTAAGTAAAAAAAAAAATTTATTTCTTTAATACACATAATAATAACATATTTTTAATTTATTCCATAACACCAATGCATATAGCTATATCATGTTGAAACACTGGTTTTTTGAATGATCACTGAAGTTAAGCAATATTCAGCCTGGTCAGTACCTAGGTGGGTGATATTATTTATTGATAATGATATTAGCTTGTTTAATGCCTGAAAGAAGAATTCTTGTCAGAATGACTTATTGCTTTATCAACTTTGACCAGGGATTGCTTACGATCACTGAAGTTAAGCAAGATTGAGCCCGGTCAATACCTCGATAGGTAACTGATTGGGAATGTAAGGTTGGATGTGCAGGTGGTGTAATGGATAATGACTCATAACTGTTAATTGGAGTGACGAGAAAAACAAAATAATTATTTCTTTAATGCATATAAAAATATCTTCCTTTTTTTTTTTTTTTTTATTTATTCCATAACAATGACGTTTATAAGCATATTATGTTGAAACTCCAGTTCTTGTACAATCACCAAAGTTAAGCAACAGTGATCCTGGTCAATACCTTGAATCCACCTCTTCCTTCCAGCTATGAATTAATTAGTTAGACTTGTTTCATTAAAACCATTATTATCTCGAAAAAAAAAAAAAAAATATTAAATATGTGAACCAGCTGTAAAGAAATCCTTATTTACCATTTTATAAAGTTTGAATTGATTGAGAATTAGCCAATGTTTTGCCAATCATTCCAATAAACAATCTAATAAATAAATAATGTTTGTTATTTTTATTCTCAAGAATAAAGAAGATGTATAAAATCACTTTCACATGTTTAGGTTTTATTGCAATTTTAATCATCGCCATTTTCAAACAATAAACAAAGAATGAAGGAATTTAAAATAATAATGGATTCAAAGGAAAAAACAGCCTTTTGATACTCCATTTTTTTTTTTTTTTTTTTTTTTAATGTGTATGAAGATTCAAGTTTGCCGGTTTATTCTCGTTTTTTTATTAAATTTGATTTTTCCGAAAATTACCTACTATATTTGATAACATAACCCTCTGCCCTCTACCCAAACATTTACATTTAATAAAACATTGTGGAGTTATGTACATGTATTGGTAGTGGAATCTGGTTAAACATTAGCCTACTAGGTAGGTACTTGAACTTTGCATATAAGGCCCAGGAGATCATTTTTTAGCCAATTATTATTTTTTTTTTTGCGTGGGTAAAAAATTGATAGGGTCTTTGCTATTTTGAATTTTATGAATTTGGGATGGAATATTTTTTTTATTTTGGACTTTAGGAGATTTAAAGAATTTTTAAATAATTTTGAGAAATTATTAACATTTGATTTGGAACCTTGAGATAAATTCATGTAATATATGTACTAGTGATCAGTATAAGTGAAACTAGTGACCATATTGATTTAAAAATAGTACTGCATGATTTTTAACTTAAGGTGAGTCACTTAAAGATACAACCTGTAAAGAATGTAATTCGATTCAAACCTTTCAGATTGATTACTTGATTGTTTTGTTTTTTACAGCTTATCAACCCTTTGTGGGTTATTTAAAGTTGAAGCATATTTTGGATTGTAAGAATAATTCTTTGCAAATGAATATTACATTAAGATTTTTTTGAGATAACAATGACTTTTTCAGATGCAAGTCCTACTGTTTAACCTATATGGATGAGGAAGATTTTTTTTTAACATGTCAGATACTTACATTAGCAAAAACTATATGTCAGCATCAGCATTATGATGGAGAAGAAAATGGGTATCGTTTGAAATAAATAAAAACAGAAATGCACAATATTTTTGTTTCAGCAGTGATAGATTAACATGTAGGAGATGATCTGATTTTTTATAAAAGGTCTACCACAGGTATGTCCAAATCCGCCCCAGATTTCATATGGCTCCCATCCTCTGTCATAGAATGTATCATTTATGGCCTGCCAATATTGTCAATCAGAGTATGTAAAGTACACACCTAAGAAATACAATTTCATTTTTTACCAAAAGATGGTAGCAGCACTGTGCAGTCACCCTCTGGCGGTGTGACCCTAACCTTGGCCTATTCCAGCTAATTTCTAAAATCATACTGCAGTTCAAATCTCAGTATCACTCTTCACATTAGTGCAGGCAAATTATTTGTCTTGGTCATCTGAGATGAATAAATTCTAAAATCTAAGTGAATTAAATTTGTTTTGTGTTGGTCAAAATTAGTTATAAATATATTTGGACACTTGGTCTTTGTCACTTTATTTTCTACTTAATAAGAGGAATGTTGATGATGTTAGCCTATTCATGTTTTTAACTATATTTTATTTCATCTTATAAGGACTTCAAATATGACAGGCTGAGTGATTTTAGTAAGACCTGTTTAAATTTATTTGTCATGAAGAAATGAAAATATACCATTTGCAATAAAATGTTCATAAGATATTTCATTTGCATTTAATTTTAATGGTTCAAAGAATGTCAAGCAGAATGGTTGGCCCTTACGTATATGCACCTCATCAAATCTGGCCCTCTTTGAAAAAAGTTTGGACACCCCTGGTTTAAATGAAGTTGCAAGAATGGATAGTATTCTTAGATCATATTAAGTGGATGTGCAGATGGTGTAAGGGAAAGCAGCTCAGATTGAGAAATTAGAGAGCAGTGTTTGAATTCCATTCAGGTTGATTACATTCACTTTGCCCCCAATACCCCTTAAACATATATCAGTATCTGAAAAATTCTTAATGTAATATCTCCTTGCAAAAAAAAAAAGAAATCATTCTTACAATACAAAATATGTAGGCTTACAGCCATAAGATGTTGAAACATCAGATCTTGTATGATCACTGAAGTTAAGCAACATCAATCCTGTTTAGTATCTAGATGGGTGACTGCTTGGGAATATCAGGTACTGTAAGCTTCGATGTGCAGGTGGTATAATGGCTTGGAATTGGAAATCTGAGAGCAGAGTTCCAATTCCAGTCAGGTTCATTATATTCACTTAGGCATAACTATCCTTGGGAAAGGTATTAATCTACCTCTCCTTCCCTCCAGCTATGGGTTAATTAGTAGGAATTATAGCAGTAAATCATGATCTCCCAAAAAAATTTTTTTGCAATCTAAAAATATTTTCTGGCTTTATGTAACCTGCAAAAGACAAATCTGCAAAGAACAATCAAATCATTCCAAATCATGGTTCAAACTTAAATAACCTACAAAGTGCTGATAAGCCATAAAAAAAAACAAATAAATCAACCAATCATATTAGTAGAGCTACTAGGCAACTTGCAAATACCATTAAATATACTTTAACACATCATAACAGTTACCTAATAAAGTAGGTATTTACTTGACTCCCACAAGGTCAAGATGTGACACAAGGTCGATTAACGTGGGAAACCCGCGTGTTTCCACTCAAAGGCCACTGGTCAAAATTGGTCATAGCATGTCCAAGCTGGTCAGAGCTTAGTCAAAGCTGGTCATGACTTGTCCTAGCAAGCTAGTCGAAGCCTTGATCGAATCTCAGCCAAAGGCCAAGAAACGATCCAATAATTGTCAAAACCCCCAGCATAACGCCAGGTGAGTAATTACCTAATAAAGTAGTGTATATAGTCTTAAAGCTGAACTTGGTTTTTGACCATGAAATCATTAATTTGTGGAAATACTTAATGTATGATCATAACATATTCTGAGTAACATTTTCAAAATCTAAAATGAATTGAAGTTGCTTTGAGATGAACTTAAGTTTCTTTTCTCTTTTCACTTTATTTCAGATTGCCTTATACATTTGTTACAAATGAGGTTGCCGAGGCAACCTGTGCTTGTTTGTTGGCACAGGCAGATGAGTCAGATCGGTTAAAAATGCCACCAGTTGTTCAAGAACGGATGATTATTGAAGAGTTTGGTCGATGTCTCATGCAAATTATTGACTCAGCCAACAAAACCAAACTTAAAAGTAAGAAACAAATTATTTCAAGGTTTTCCTTTTTTGTTTTTAAATATTGTTTCTTTATTCAGCTGTAATAACATTTTATTTATATATATATATATATATATATATATATATATATATATATATATATATAGTCATTTTAATGAAATATATATATACATATTATATAATATGTATATATATATTTCATTAAAATGACTGACAAAGTACTGCATTTAAGTAGGTACCTCCACAAAAAAAAACAAACAAACAAACACAGCATAGAATGATGAAAAAGTCCCCAAACTTAAAACAGTTCCAGAAAAGTATATTTTATTTCTGGAAGATTTTTAAAACCGAGAATTACCTTTTTGTTTACAAATGAGTTAAAAGAAAAAAAAAAGTTGGAGATTCTAATTAATATAATTTCTATTTGAAATGTAGAGTTTTTGCTTAATAGAAATAGTAAATTTAATCATTTAGCTTTCAATTAAAGCTAAAAAAGAAAGTTTTATCATTTTTAAAAATTCATTTTAAACCTTAGATAGCAAAAATTAGTGGAGGTACCTACATTTAAGCTTTATATTTATTTTTTGTTTACTTTGTATAAGCCTTTTTATTTCTGGACATAAAGTGTGTAAAAAATTATCCAAATGTTTTGTTTGAGTATTTTTGCTTATTCTTTTAGCCATTATCAAGGATGTTTTTTGTTATTTTTAATTCTAACTGAATGTGTACATTTTTATATATCTAGAGTTATAAAAAACATCTACACATTGATTAAGAATTAAAAAAAAAACAAAAAAACATCCTTGATAATGGCTAAAAGAATAGCTGTAAACATTCGGACATACGAAACATTTAGACAGTTTTTAGACAATTTATGTCCAGAAAAAATTTACATGAAGAAAAATAAAAAGCTAAAATGCAGTACTTTGTCAGTTGTCTTTAATAAAACTTGTGTGTATATAATCGACTCCATGAATTTGTGCTACTAGGTTGGCATCTTGGTTCCACCCTTTTACTGTTGAAACAGTTAAATGTAGCCGCCTCTTCTACTCCAACAGCTTCTTCTCTTGCACTTCCCAACAGTGGAATTCCCTTCCTCTTACTTGCTTCCCTGATAACTATAATCTTTAAAAATTTAAATGTAATTTCAATCAACATCTGATGCCTTGATCCCTGTTCTTCTTTTTATCCTTTCTCAATCCACCCTATACCCAGTCTTCTCCCTTGCTTTCACTCTCTGCAGCCCCTTGTGTACTTGTGGCACTTCCGAATTGCTTGGGGTGAAATGATTAAATATATATATATATATATATATATATATATTTTAGTTTATGCAAATTTAGTTAATCCGTATGGGTAGACCTGAGGAGGATGATATCCAGAGAGCTCAATGTAAAATTCAGAGCAGATATGTTTGAATAAAAGACAGACCACGTTAAGATTCCATGTAATAAGCTATTTCACCATAACCCCTTTAACAGGGTTCTGGATCATCAGACTTTTACTTCCAAAAAGCTGAAATGAAAAATGAAAAGAAATTCACACGTTTTTTACGGACCTCATCAAGTATACGTAAAGTTAACGAAGTGAGGAAGTGAGGTGGGAGAGAGGATATGAGTGTGTCATATGTATCATTTTAGTTTCCTATTTTAGTTTCCTTATATATTTTTAAATATATATATATATATATATATTTCCTTGTTGTTTCATACAAGAAGGCAGTTCTAGTATTTGCTTCTAACAACATCTACATTTTCAGCTAACAAGCACATCAAAACTTACATTCCTTCTAATGATTCCATATATAATGACATAAAAAATACAAAACCATCTGTAGAAATACATTTGTACTGATTTGGCTATAAAAATGCTTGACAAATGATATTAAGATATAAGTCCATTGCTAAATTTTCATTCACTCTAATGGTTTCATATTTCATGACATAGCAAATGCCAAAAGAATATATTGAAATTCACTGGAAATTATTTTACAACACAAATGCTTATAACTTAGAAGATACTAAAAGCATATATAAGTAGTATACAGATGCCAAAGTTTCCTTGGATTTGGGGAATCTGAACAGAATATAAACTGAATATCTGAGGAAGTGCTGCAAAGTTCTTGACCCAACCCCCTTCTCAAAATAAGTATTTTGATGTTTGGTCATTAAGATACAGCTTTTGGAAAGTGTGTTAGGTGAAGAACTCTTCAGTACCTTCCTTGTATGGATTTTTGCTGTGACACTGTGAACTCAGTTTACTTATTTCTCCAAGCATTCATAGCAATTTATGGATAATCAAGAACAGAAATCTTTGGAGAGTCATGATTTAATTTAGTGCTGTTGACCATGAGGTCAGCTCTTGCATTCATCTTTGATAGTTCTTCTTTTCATGGTCAAATAGGATACGTAATGGATAGTGGCTCGGAATGGGAAATTGCAGATACCCTTGGGAAAGGTATGAATTCATTTTTTTCCCCTCAGATATGGGTTCAATAATAGGACTTCTATCTCCAAAAAATTAATTCAATATTCACTTGCAAAAAAAAAAAAAAAGAATTATTCTTATAATCCAAAATATGTTTTGGTTTTAGAATTGTTTATATTCTTCATTTTGCTTTCACTTGCATACTTTTTTCTTTCTTTTTTGTTGTGACCCATTTTATAAAATATGTTTTGGTTTTAAATAACCCACAAAGGGTTGATAAGCCGTAAAAAAAAAAAACAATCAATCAATCGTAGTCAAATTCTTGTCTTCTTTTTATATGAGGAATGAAATAGGTATTCAAAAAGTTTTTATACTTATCTGAAGGCCACAGCAAGAACCTCATTTTGCACTTTGACACATTATACCTAAGTGTAATAAACCAAAGACAAACTCTGTTCACTGGGTTCATTTATTTAGCGTCAACAATTTATATGTATATTTCTTATGATCTGCACATATTGGAATTACATGTATCTATCTATTTGTATTATCTACTTGTAAGAACATAAAATTATTATTTTTAGACAAACAAATTTAAAACAAATTCTGACAAAAACACAGCACATCATCATACTAACACAGAAAGAATCTACTGATACTCGATTTCAACATTGAGTTGGGAAATTCACTTTTAACCCTGACTTCAGATTAGTAGCTGATTTATTCAACAATCTTAACGGCTTTCACCAGCCATGAAGACAAATGCACTGCATGCCTTCGTAGCTAAGTTTTGGCACGAGATCTCTTTGTGAGAGAGAACTGATGTCATTCGGTCCACAACGAGTTTGACAAACAAGATACATAAACTCAATGAGAATAAACTATATATAAATATATAATTATATTTAAAAAAAAAAAATATAATACAAGCTTACCTTGGGGAAAAACTAGTGACGATTTATGAGTGCTGTGCAACATTTAGAATTGTTTATATTCTTCATTTTGCTCTCACTTGCATACTTTTTTCTTTTTTTTTTTTGTTGTGACCCATTTTATTTATCTCGTGACCCACTGAAGGGTTGGGACCCACAGTTTGAAAAAACCTGCTCTAAAATGTATGTTAATGGTGTTGGTGAGATTAGCCATTACCTTTATGAGGAAATATTTGGTATTCATTAAACAAACAGCTATGGTTCATTATCAGTTGAAATTAAAAAAGAATATTTCTCTTAAGAGTTTTTCCAGAAAATACGTTTCTCAAGTCCATTGTAATTATGCTTTTTATTATTGATAGGAGTTTCCTTTCTAACCTTTAAGAATGTGGAAGTCAACATCTTGATTGTGTTATTATTTTCTCTTTGAGTTACATGTGTCATCTATTTTAGTTGTTGCTGCTGTTGGAAGTCTTCAAGTAATATGGTTATTGTTATTTGGTGAAAAGTTTTTTGTTTATGATTCTGTAGCACTGGTTTATGAGATCCATAAAGGACACTCTTCTTCAAGAGACAAATTTATCCACTTAAATCCATTTTTAATCATTCATCTGTGAAAGCAAGGTGTATATGGCTGATAGTGTAGATATTTTTTGAATAAGTTGGAAGCCAGGCACCTCATCTGCATGAGAAATGAAAGTAGTAGCATCATTAATATGTCTCCCTTTTATTACTTTCTTTTTTTTGCTTTTAATATAGATCTAAAACTGCCCATTCATGTAGAAGTTGAATATTAAAAGACTCAGTTATTATACCTTTTCTATAAATATTTTCACGGTAATTGTTCTGATGAGCTTTCCTCTTTGGCACCTTGACTTTACGAATTTAAGCACAGTACTAGACTGGCATCATTGTACAGTTGAAATGGTTAAATGTAGCCATAAGTTCTATTTTAACAGTTCCTTTCTTCTCCAGTACTTCTCACTTGTGGAACTCTCTTCTGGTTTTTTGTTTTCCAGTCAACTTTGATTTTCAAAAATTAAATGCAATGTCAATCATCATCATCTGTCTCCTTAATTCCCTTTATTATCCTATCTTCTTAATAATTTTTCCTTCTTTGATTCTTTCACACTCAGTAGCCCCTTCTGTGTCTTAATGACTTTCTATCCTTGCTTGAGATGAAATGATTAAAAAAAAAAAAATTAACAAAAATTAAGACTATTATTCTTACCACTATAATAAAATAAAATCCAAAGTAATATTTTTCAAAGTTTTATTTGATAGCCCTAAGAATCTGCAACTCTCAATATTTGCCTAAAGAAGAAATATATATTCAAAATATTTTTATAAAATTATATAATATTGATTTAATACTTCCAAATACAAAAAGTAACTGCTTCCTTATAGGAACTTTCTTGATTGTTATTTTAATTTGTACTGGCTTGTTTTTTTTGTTTTTTTGGTCTTTGTTGTATGTAAAATCTAAAGTACTGAATGTCAGTCAGTCAGTCAATTGTTTTCATTTCACATCATTTGATATGCAATGTAACATTATGTTCCAAATGATGGAAATATTATTGTTAATTTATTTGAAGTTACAGTTGATTTCTTTTTGTTTTCTTATGTAAATCATTCTTTTTTGCATTCTTTTCTGACTTTGAAAATTTCTGAAACTTGATAAATGAGAAATCCATTCAGTTAGAAAGAAGTAATATTTTTACTCTTGATGTCAGTCCCAGCTTTTAACCTGTGAATTGTGGAAAAAAAAAAGGTTTCTCTTGTATCCCTGTAATTTTGTTGAACTTCAATCTTTTAATATTTTACTTAGCTCAATCTGGCACAGTATCAAATAAGGACAAAATGTTGTATAGGGAAATTGTGTTGCCCCAATTTTACAATTGGGGAGGGCCTGTCTGGGTTGCCAGATTGAAATTCTTTTTGAACCCTAATACCACAAAATTCAATTTTACTTTTTGTTGCTTTTAAAATAAGCTTGGCCAACTTAACTTTTTTATTGTCAACATGGTTGCATATGTTAGTTTTATAGCCATATAGTGTTGTAACATTGGTTCCTGTATGATCATTGAAGTTAAGCAATGTCAAGCATGGTCAGTACCTAGATGTGTGACCACTTAGGAATACCAGATGCTGTAAGCTTGAATGTGTGGGTTGTGTAATGGATAATGGCTTGGAATTTTTAATCAGAGAACAGAATTCCAATTTCTGTTGGGTTTGTTATATTGACTTATATGCAAATACTCTTGGGAAATGTATGAATCCATCACTTCTCTCCCCAGGTATGGGTTAATTAGTAAGACTTGTAAAACTAAATCATTATCCCCCCAAAAAATCTTATGGTCTAAAAATATTTTCTGGCTTTAAATAACCTGCAAAGGGTTGGTAAAAGATATAAAACGAATGAATCAATCACCACTAAGAAATTATTGTATTTGTATACACATTGTATTTTAGTCTTTTCTCTGGATATTACTGATAAATAATCAAAATTAATGCTTGTCTGGAATCAAAAAATGTCTTAAAACATGTTACACTAGTGGAACAATGAACACTTTATTTTTTCATTGTTTGGTTGAGCCATCTTGGACATTCATCCTTTCTGGGTATAATGATAAACTACATCCATGTCCTGGGTAAGAAGATAAACTACATTCAGCAGAAAGGCCTCTGATCAGGTGACTTTGTGGAGTGTGGAACCACCTCTTAGTTGCTGTTGTTCCCAGGTCCACCCTGACTAGGGGTGGTAGCACCTGTTAGGGTCCCAGTTATGGGCAAATAGTTAACCCTCCAAACTGGGGTCAAAACACTACGTAAGTGTAAAAATAGGTTTTTAATACCAGCAATATGTTTTTGTAAAAAATTACAAGCAATAAATTTTTGAAGAAGAAATTATTATGTATTACATTTTTGGAAAAAAATAATATTACCAGCAATAAAAATCTTGTCGGCATTAAATAACACATTGAGATTTATATATATAAAACAAACCAAGCTAAACATTCATGAGTTTATCATGCAAGCATCACGGTTCTGCAACAAGGTTGGAACGTCATTAAGGTGGCATTCTGTGTCATAACATAACTAGTTCAGATTCCTACATTATATCCAATGGACACTAAAAGTTTAAATTATTTTGATTTTCCTGTTATGAAAAATAAATTTTGCGCATTAATCCTATTTTAAGATGATGTATAAGTACATGTTTTATTTTCATCTTTCTCATGCATATTATTGATAATATAATAAAAAGTAATGCTCATCTGAAATAAAAAGGATATAAAAATAGTGGGACAATGGGTACTAAATGGTTGTTGCTTCAGAATTTAGTAACTGTTTGCAAATGTTGCCTAATCTGACAACTATGATCAGCTTTAGTATTTTGTAAACCTAATTTTTATATTGGTATGAACACAAACCACTGAGTTGGGAGTAATTTGGTCATAAAGTAAGAATATTATTGCTCCTTGTACTCAGAAGTTTGAAGACTGCTATTATTACTAAATTTTAATGTTTGTCATATATGAAGTGTTATTCAAAAGTTCTGTGAATTTAGCAATGAAGAGAACATCTTTTAGAATGTGGAATTAGACATTAAATAATTTTATTTTTGTCAAATCCCTGGACTTTCAGGTGGCATGTTGTTTCTATTTCTAAACTGATCACATGACCAGTTTCTGCCACCTATCTGGGTTGAAAGCTTGAGAGGGGTTCATTCATGCACAGCATGTCTTGGGCAAATAAACCTGACAGAACCCATCTTTCTCTAGATCAAACAACAGCAGATGTCCTCCAATTTGAAGGCTAAACTTGATCATGGACATGTGACTGTTGATTCCATTGGTTTGGCTAAACTTCTGCACTGGCCATCAACTTCAGTGTAGGAAGCCTTCTGCACTGACCATCAGAGCTTCAGTGTAGGGATCCCTCTGCCCAGGCCATTGGCTTGAGTCTAGGAATCTCACTATGCTGGCTGTCAGCTGGAGTCTAGGACATATACTCTCCCCCTTGTACGTGCTAGTCATTGGCTTGAGTCTAGGGAGACATCTGCACTGGTTGTCAGCTTGAGTGTAGGACATAAACCCTGTCGGCTTGGATCGAGGGAGACCCCTGCGCAGACTGTCGGCTTGAGTCTAGGAATCCTGCCATGGCAGCCATCCACCTGTGTTCGGAAATCTCCTCATGCTGGCCCTCCACCTGAGTTTAGGGAGACTGCTGTGCTGGCTGTCAACTCAAGTATAGGAATCACCCTGTGCTGGCCATCTACCTGAGTCTAGAGAGACCCATGTGCTGACCGTCTGCCCTCCACCCAGCAGTATCGTAACGTCACTGTATTTTACCAGTTAAATTCTTTGATCCTTTAATTTGTTATTTGCTCTTGTGTTTTTATTAATTATGAAGAATAAGTTCTAAAATTTTTTTTTTTTTTTTTCCTTTTCTCTTTTTTACAGTGGATTCAGATTCCGGCTGTTGATAATGTGTTTGAAACTCTTCTTTTGTCTGTCTAGAGTTCCCTTCACCAAGAACAACCACCACCACTACTACAACAACAACAGCAGCAGCAGCATCATCATCTTCTTCTTTAGCTCTGTGCATCTCAGTCAGACAGCATTGTATGTTATAAACAATCTCCGCATATACAGGCAGGCACATGCATTTCCACATACATGCATACATTCACACAGGTGTTATAAAGGACATTGCTTTTTGAATGCTATCTCACCTGTTGTTCCTCGTTCTCTTTCCCCACTCTCTTCCTGACCAGTCTTATTTTAAGCATCACAGCTCATCTGGTAAAAATGCAGGTTCTTTAGCTGATTGTGCTCAAGCACTCCAGATTTTAATTTAAAACAAAGAAAAAAATATTTCTTTTAAACCCTGTCTTATCTTTCTAACATCATTTCTCACTAATCTCCAATGGGAATCAGCCAGAGGTGGGAGTCCAGCTCAGGGTAAACTATCCTAGCCCATATCCTAAATATTGACACCTTTACTTAAATTTGTGCTTTATTCACATTTTTGAGTATCATAAGTTAATTAGTCATGATTGGTTCGAGTCTATGCATATATGTGGGCATCTAGACCTTAGGCAAGATCATTTACACCTACTGTGATTTGTCCATTAAACGAACTGATAAAAATTTGCAGGGTGTAACCTGAATTTTGCATGTTGGTCCTTAACAGACTGCATCTTTCTTGTGTGTTCTCTTGTTGAGTACCCAGGTATTTGTTAAACTGTTGCTCTTTTTTTGGTGATAAATTGGAGATGAATTATTTTGCTGGAAGCTTTGCTCAAAATGGCTGCAAGTTTGACATCGTATTTGTGCCTGGTTTGCATATATCCACATCATTTTTTTTTTTCTTTAATCTAAAATTTTGCAACATCCCAATGAAATCTTGAGACTGTGATGGATGTGGACCTTTTGTCCTCTAATTTTATTTGTTCGTTTCCTCATCCTATTATTCCTTGAGATTAAACATCTGACTCCGGGTTTTCTTTTTTTTGTCTCTTGAATAAGTGTTTTGTTTTGTAAATTTAGGGTTTTAAAAAAAAATTATTTAATTTATATTGACAATGACAAAATACCATTTTAAATTTTTTTATTTTTTTTATTTTCTGATTTGTACAACTGTACAAGAAAATTATTTTGACACCTTAATAGATTTTTAACATATTTGATGAAATGATGAATGAACAACTATAAAGCTGTTGATATATAAAACTTCTATCTAGCTTTTTATTGATTTCTCTTGCTACTCTCACTCTCTTGCTATATATTGAATTCTCTGTCACTCTCTCTCTCTCTCTCTCTCTCCCTCGCTATCTCTTGATTTCTCTCTCTCCTCGCTATCTCTTGATTTCTCTCCCCTAGTATCTCTTGATTTCTCTCTCTCCCCTCTATCTCTTGATTTCTCTCTCTCCCTCGCTATCTCTTGATTTCTCTCTCCCTCGCTATCTCTTGTTTCTCTCTCTCCCTCGCTATCTCTTTGATTTCTCTCTCTCCCTCGATTTCTTTGATTTCTCTCTCTCCTCGCTATCTCTTGATTTCTCTCTCCCCCTCGCTATCTCTTGATTCTCTCTCTCCCTCGCTATCTCTTGATTTCTCTCTCTCCCTCGCTATCTCTTGATTTCTCTCTCTCCCTCGCTATCTCTTGATTTCTCTCTCTCCCTCGCTATCTCTTGATTTCTCTCTCTCCCTCGCTATCTCTTGATTTCTCTCTCTCCTCGCTATCTCTTGATTTCTCTCTCTCCCTCGCTTATCTCTTGATTTCTCTCTCTCCTATATCTCTTGATTTCTCTCTCTCCCCTATCTATTCTTGATTTCTCTCTCTCCCTCGCTATCTCTTGATTTCTCTCTCTCCCTCGCTATCTCTTGATTTCTCTCTCTCCCTCGCTATCTCTTGATTTCTCTCTCTCCTATCCCTCTTGATTTCTCTCTCTCCCTCGCTATCTCTTGATTTCTCTCTCTCCCTCGCTATCTCTTGATTTTCTCTCTCTCCCTCGCTATCTCTTGATTTCTCTCTCTCCCCTCGCTATCTCTTGATTTCTCTCTCTCCCCTCGCTATCTCTTGATTTCTCTCTCTCCCTATCTCTTGATTTCTCTCTCTCCCTCGCTATCTCTTGATTTCTCTCTCCCCTCGCTATCTCTTGATTTCTCTCTCCCTCGCTATCTCTTGATTTCTCTCTCTCCCCTCTATCTCTTGATTTCTCTCTCTCCCTCTATCTCTTGTTTTCTCTCTCTCCCCTCGCTATCTCTTGATTTCTCTCTCTCCCTCGCTATCTCTTGATTTCTCTCTCTCCCCTCACTATCTCTTGATTTCTCTCTCTCCCTCGCTATCTCTTGATTTCTCTCTCTCCCTCTATCTCTTGATTTCTCTCTCTCCCTCCTATCTCTTGATTTCTCTCTCTCCCCTCGCTATCTCTTGATTTCTCTCTCTC